AATAAACATCGCATGGCTGACATATCGGAGTACATTTTGGTGATATAATTTGTAAATTACATGTTGGTTTATTATTTTTGTCGCGAAATATTTCGTTATACATTTGGATGTTTTTTTGTCCTCCCCAGGAATCTACTATAAATAAAAACAAATTATCTCCGACATACGGCTCAACAACATTTTCTAAATACTGTTCATATAATGACGTTGTTAATTTGCCCGATTTGGAACATGCTGTAATGACAACATTTTTGCATAATTTTAATAATTCATCCACATCTTTTTGTACACGTACTCCAAAATTATCAGAAAATTCTTGCAAACAAACAAATACTTTATTTAATAACTTCCCGGATTTTGTCAGCGAATACTGGTATTCGCGGTATATGAATGCGAAACTTTATTTAAATCGCCAATGTATAATTGAACCAATTTTTGCCCAGTGTGCGTGTAAGCTCGCGATAATATTTTAGATTTTTAAGATTTAGATATTTAAGATTAACTCCATACTCACATCATGTTTGATCAGTATTAATTACAAAATCGGGATCGTAATCCGATGAAATTGCTTGAATTAATGTTTGAAATTCTTCCGCTAATTTTATCACAGCTTCTGGTGAAATTGCTTCTCTTTTAGAAATATATCGGACAACACGACGATTCGATATCCTGTACTCACGTAAAAAATTGGTCAACCACGTACTAGATGCTACGAAATGAAAAACATTTATATGTTCTTCACTTTCCTGTTTGGGCTTGTTATATTATGCGGCTGCAGGCTATGGCCCACTGTTGCAGCAAACGTCGTGTTACTAATTGATTATTATTTCTTGCTTCTCTGAACCGATCGTACACATTAGTTTTTACTGCATTTAATTTGTCTCTAAAAGTACTGCCTGACAAAACAGCTTTTTTATATTTTGTAACATCAGAAGGATGGTTCAAATACTTTCTAAAATTATGCTTTAATGTTTTGAAAGACCAATTTGGATGTTCTTCAGCTGCTAGTACGATCTTTAATTTTGTATCGTATGGCACTATTTGATGCGTAGAAATTTTTTTCGGAGGTTCGTAGTCTTCTAAATCATCGGGTATATTCCCACTCGTACTCGGGATACTTTCGCGCACAACCACCTTTTCTCCTTCTTCTAGATAATATTCAATGTCGTCCACAACTTCATGCTCTCCCGCCAGTTTAATAAATTTTTCAAAAAGTTCGCCGCCAGCTAATTTGGCATTGTTCGAAAATTTGCGTGGGGCGTCAGCAAATATTAAATCAAATTGTATAACAATATCTGCAAACAATTATTTTACATTATAATTTGAAATATACTGTGACATTGTGAAAGCAGATTTTGTTTTCAATCCGTCATTAATAATATATTTACCACGAAAATATTCGACCACATCCGTCAAATCTTCCTTCGAAATATCGCACTTTGCAAGAACTTGTACATATTTAATGGTTTCATCAGTAATATATGTTGTCTCCATTTCTAATGCTTCGTATCACGTTCTCTGTAGAAATGCTGCCACGAGACCGATGAAACACGTTACAACGTGTGAGAATCCCTCCTCCGTAAAAACTGTTAAAAAGATCGAATAGAGGGGACCAACAATCCCTTCTACCTAACAAGGTCTTTTCTTAAAACGCTTGCCTGTTCTTTGCCTGCGAGTCTCATCTATATAATATTTCGGATACTATTTTAATAAACGTATAAAATGTATCACAACAAAAATAATATACCAACACATAACTGTCAAATGTACATCGATAAACCATACAATGTTTATTTTTATAGACAAGTAAAATTAATTTTCATCCACAATATTGCGAAGCAATGGAAACATTTTATAATATGTAGACATTTATAAAGTTTGTATTTGATTTTGACATGTATAAAATTTATACGTTGCTTGAAAAATATATAATCAGTTCATCATACGATCTATATATTTTTTATTTCGTTCAATGCATATTGCGTTCAAATATCCCGAAATGTCCTTATTTCTTTATATAAAAACGAAATAAATTAAAAAATAAATAAATAATTATTAATAACGTATTACTATATGTCGAAAATTAAAGAAAAAAGAAAAAAAAACCATGAAGTGAAGCAGTCGTCGGTGAGATCCGAACGCTCGCCGCCGGTGCAAAAATCTATGTGTAGTCCCCCATTAGTCCCCTCAGTTACGCCGCTTACTTGAAAGAGGTCGTAAAGTTCTGCTTATGTGGGACGTAGTTGCGTGACCCTAACTTTGTCTCTTAAATTCTCTTAAACAAAGGCGCATCGGCACGAACGGCTCTAGGGTTTTCATCACCTACATACAAGCTATCGAACGCACTATGACTCGTACGAAAAACGATTTTCTAATTGGCGTCATCTCCTTGTGAATATAATGCAGTACAATGCACACCTACATTTCTTAGAACTTTTCTCGCAGCACTGTCACAGGAGAATATGAATCTAGCACTCTGCCAGATATCTCTAATCGATCTCGATATCATAGCGTAGCTCCACGTATCCGAATAAACACCCACGCTATGATTTCACATGATCTCAACGTGTTTAACTGAAACCGCGGATATACAGCCTAACCTAACCTAACTTCGTTTTCTTCTCTCTTTGGCTGTGGCTGTGTTCCAAAATTCACTGCCAGTACTGAAAACATAGTTGTGTGTCACGTATACGTATAGATTTTCAGTGCTAGCAATGAATATCGGAACGCAGCCAATAGCTGGCTCTGGGAGAAGTGGATATCCCTCCCCCATTCGCCATTCCTTAAGCCGGTTGCACACAGGACACGGCAACGCTTGCCGCGCGGCGGAAATTGGCTAGGGAATACTGCGGTAACCATTCAGCATCTTGCTTGTCCGGAAATAGTATTTACGAACACGCATCATTTGGAACATTGATTGACTGCTGTGATCTTCCCTAACCAACGTTGTCGTGTCCTGTGCGCAGCCGGCTTAAGCAGGAGCCATTACGCGCGCAAGTATGTTATAACCAAGATATTTTGCGTCAAACCAGTCAAACGGTGTGTTTGAATGTTATACAAAATATCGATCACTTAAAAACTTCAATGTTTGCTGACTGAAATATGTGAAGTATGTATCAAGATACCTTGCGTCGAATAGACCACGAGCGAGAATCGAGAAGCTAAATGTCACCGGAACGAACTCGTGTAGGTAAGACAAAAGCAAACGCCAAGATCCTCGATGAGATGAAAATACGAGATTATAACTTTTTACGTGTGCAATTGTCCTTACGTTCGCGCATATTTTAACAGGAACTGTTATTCCATCGAAGACACAACATTCTTCAACTTGCAACATCTGTCATAACAAACTATCAATCACATCGCGAAGTTACTTCGATAGTTGCAAACCAATCGCGCATCTGTTTTGTGTTTCACAAACTTCGAAAACTTCTTGCGAAGGGAGTATGTTGAAGTAACACATTACCTCGCAAATATGATGGAGCAATCTTCCATTACCACTAGAGCCAGGGCACAGAAATTGAATAATTTGAACGAAAGTATAACCGAATCAAAGAGAACACATAATAAACAGTCAGTGAGAGGAAAGAGATATGTGAACGCAAAAGACGATTCGGAAGTATCTGCTAAACAGAGCGCTAGAAAAAAATCGCACAGTGCAAAAGTAACAGCTGGTAAATCTAAGAAGAAGAACATATCTAGCCGGGAGCTTAACATGGCCAAAGAAGCAGGAAGTAAAGATAAAATTACAGTAGACAAAGATGAGAGTACAAATCCCGAAGATGAGATAAAAGAAGTGTCAGAAGATAAGTATGCAGATAATGTTCCTACGATTGAACTTGTCAACAATAATCTTTCTCAGTCGACTGATTCGAAAGATTTTAATAAAACTCCTAAAAGGATGCGATATAAAACCATCGTGTCAAAGGGATTGTCTGGTACGGTCACTCCTAAGAGCACACCCATTAAGCTTAGTCTTACACCACATAGATCAACAAAAACGCCAAAAAAATCACCGATTTCGTTAAGTTCCCCAAAGACACATACAGCGTCAGTTTCAAGACTAATGAAAACTCCGCGAAAATTGTCTCTTACACCGGAGAAAAATTCATGCAATTATAGCAATGACCTCGACGACAAGAAATTATGGAGGGGCAAAAAGGATAAACCCTTGAAAAAAGTATCTGTACCAAACAAGAATTCATCGGTATCATCGGTAGTAAAGAATAAACGTAGTATATCTAACGCAAAACTGAAGGAAATTGTGCATAGATTCTCAAAATCCCCAAAAATAGTACTGAGATCTCCATCAAAAAAATCGAAGTCACCGAAATTAAATTTATCTGCATCCAAAAAAAATCTATCCAAGAAGCCTCTTGTGAATAACGTTCATGATACTTCACTGAGTCTTGATAGTACAAAGTCGTTACGTACGACCGTGAAGAAGACTCCTTCGTCTGAAAGTAAAAACGCTCCGCTGAACAAACGTCGACTATTGAATGCAAGATTAATGAAACTATTGACGGCCTCGCAGATGAGAGATATATTAGCAGAACCGATAGTATTGCTGAAGAAGCTATCTCTCGAAAGCAAACAGAATATGCTTACGACTTTTGGCAGCGATCAGTCAAACAATTCGATTAATGCAGAGAGCAGTGCTCAAGTATCAGGAACAGCTGCAGAGAATAGATCGGCAAAATCAGACATGTCTGCACATTTGAAAAACTCTCGTCGAAGTTCTACCGCTAAGATAACAAATAGATCCACTGATAAACTGTCACCAGGTACTAAACACGGTTCACCGTCGCAAAAAGAAAAACCTTCCACGCCCTTGATGTCGTCTACCCCAAGAGAGGAGGAGTCGTTGTTACCGCGAGTAAACATCTTGACATCTAGTGCATCCGTCTTTCCAGTGGTAGATGATAAATATCCTAACAGAAGATGGAAATGTACCGATCAATCCAGCATACCCGCTGCACCGTCCCCTAATATGATGAACAAGAGTGCAGCCATCGAAGATGTATCGAAACCTTCTCTATTGGACGTAGACATCAGTGATGCCAGTCAGACTCATATTTTGAATGCCGCGAAATGGAACACCACTTACGACATCAACGAAGAAACTCAGCCAGAGAAGGGTCAAAGCAACAAGAGAGACATCACTTACGAATTAAAAGATCCGCAGACACCAGGTTTACGACGTATGATCAGAAAACGTACCATGACGGATGCAAATTTATGCGCTAACGAGAACGTTAGAAAATCCTGCAGAGTACGCTTTGCAAATGTAAGACCTGATGAGAACGGTGCGCACAATTCAATTGGGAAGTCGACTGGCCCGTCGTGCAATAGTAGTAAACAAAATAATGTCAGAGTTACGAATGCAACACACGAATCGAGAAAGGTCAAAATTCTAAAATTCAACCAAGACGCGCGAACTTCTCCGAGAAATGCGAAATCAAGTCCGAAGATAAATCGAGTCACACCGAAAGGAGGATTAAACAACAGCCCCATTGTAATGAACCTGACAAGCTTTAACAAAATTCAAGCCCACCAGAAAGTCACACCGAAAAGACCCGGATCAGTTGAAAAGAAATCAGGTACAGTACAGCTGCATACGTTCGTTCCGTTACCTTATTTATCCCGTCATCCTTTATTATTTATCACTCGAATAACGTTCGAAATTATCCATAGGAAAAAAATCATCGATAAAGAAAGTACCAAATTTTAGAAGAATACACGAGAAGATGTTCGCCAAGTCAGAATCAGTCGTGGATGCAAAAAAACGTCTGGATACCAAACATCTAGAATTCGGTAGTTTATTATTATTACATACACACACGCGTGGTCATTCATCATGCATAAGCAGTATTTATCTCTTATCTTGAATCTTACTTCTGAATTGTAGTGACGAAAACAGCTTTGTCCGAAGTGGGTTTAAAGAGAGGAGCAAAACTATTGCCGAGTGATGCGACCAACGGCACGTACAACAGATTCGGGTTCAAATTGAGGAAAGCGGAAGCTACGCATGTGATATTGAAGAAACAAACCGTTTTCTCGAGGTACAGTATTTCAACGAATATCTTGTACGGCGCTCAATTAATAATTTGATCTTCTAATAATTTAACTTTATTTTGTCAAGACAACTCTTGAATTTTTATTAAACGCTGCTAATGCGGCTTTCTGCAGCGATAAGGAAAAACTCGTTATATCTAATATTTCGCAAAACTTACAAATATCTGCAGGCAGAAGCAGCAACATGAAACGCGGACGGTACTGAAGAGCGTACGGACGAATCGACGCTTTGAGCTGCAGATGAAGGCTCGTAATATAACTACGATATAAAGCGGCTCTTTTTCTTGATGATGTAAATCATTTTTGGGCAGGCCCTATTTTCGTGAATCACATGAATCATGAAAATACATTTTCCCTTTTTAATTTGCACTGATTTCTTAAGATTTAGGCTAAGACTGTTCTAATTAGCATTCCCTGTGCTATGATCTATCTCGAGTTAAATCAATCGGCATAATATCGAATAATTCTTTATGAACGATGAACTATCCCTGTGCTTCTGTCTTAAGGGGAAAAACCACAAGTTTATTTTCCTGTACGCATAGAAGTAATTTATTGTACAGTGTCAGCTCGCGCGGATATAATACAGAAGGTTCAAAGATTTATTCTCATGACATACATTTGTATAGATATATTTTATTAGTAATAACTGTGCTTCTTTCTTTTCCTCTTTCTGCTCCTCCTTAAGTATGGACAATCTAAGGAGGAAGAAAGCAAATTTAATTTACAAACTTGTGCATTTGTTGGGGAAAATTTGAATACATTTGGAATTATTGGAATCATTGAAATCATTAGTTTGTGCGTCGGGACAAGGGACTGTGTTTGTGACCTGTAACCGGTACTTTTTTTAAGAGTTCCCACACAGAAACATTAATTTTTAAGTATCAAGAAGGTATATAGGTGGTCACTCGTCTTAAAATTGTATACTCTTATAGATAAGTTTTATTGAGTACATAATATATATTAAATAATCCACTTTACATGTAACGGCTCATAGATGATAATCTCAAGGAGTGTATAAATTTACTTTTTAATTAATATTTACATCAAGTTTCATCTTTGTACCGATGACATTGTATCGACAGTATTGTTAAAACGAAAAAAAAAAGAAAATAAAGTCGCAAAAAGGTCCTCGATAACTAACAAAAACATATGATCGATAATTGATAAGGAAATGCGGGAAGGGTTTTAATCTTTTTAAATCTTTTATGGTTTGAACGTTACCGGTCGGTAAACTTATGCCCGAACGTATTCTCACTTAACTTTGAGCTCACTTTCCTTTGTTTTATTTTTTTCTTTTTTTTCCGCAAATCATTTTGCACGTAATGAAATTGATAATTGCATGGTCGTGTTATATAGCATTAAGGGTCGGTTAAGTGTCTCAATTTCTTGGTAAGTTAACTGATGGTTAAGTCAAATGTTTATCTTTGTTTTTCCTTCAATTTAAACGAAGACAAACATATGATTTAACTGTCATTTAACTTAACTAAAAGTTGGAACAATCGACACCCCAAGTCACAATATACACAGTAGAGCGACACTCCCCAAATTTCGCGTAGCCAAAAATGAACTGCACATGTGCAGCCTAAAGAGTCTCATAAGAAGGGAGTGGCGAACTGATCACGTGACCAGGTCTCTGGTTGATTCGATGGAGGCACAAAGCCTTCTTGACCAATTGGAATATTGATAAAGCAAGACGACACGATAACGAAGCGGATGGTCATTTTGTTTCAACTCTTGAGTGAGTTGCACCTTGTAAAGCCAGCGGCACACGGTGCTTGTTTTCGTGCTGGATTGTTTGCTGGATGAAAATACTGCGTTCTGATTTCATTTCCGAAGATGGATGAAAATGTGTGCCGCTGGCTGAAGCAAATAATCCCAGGTCTTTATGCAATATTCTCCTCAGAGAAGTGCGACTGGTGTTCAGTTGTTGAGCTCTGTGACGAGTTGAGATTCTCGGGTTTTCACGCACACTTTGGGCAACAACAACAATTCTTTCGTCTGTGCGCACCGGACGAGCACGCGGATAGCTTTGTTATCCACAAGCATGCCAGCTTCACGAACTTTCTTTATGAATTTCCTTACACCAGCCGCTGAAGGGGCTTTATTTCGACCAAAAATTCTTTTCAAATTTCGCACGGTTTCTGCAACACAACACTCACTTTGGAAATAATTTTTCAATATTTCCCAGCGTTGTTCAAGCATAAAACGATTCGTTTCTTACGGCGGAGGTTTGATACTATTGGTCTGTTCTTTTTAGCTGCACTACTGAACTGGTGCAATAAGTTAAAGAGAGAAAAAATATGGTTGTCTCATTCTAACTTATTGCACTAGTTCCGCAGTGCAGCTGAAAAGAACAGACCATATATATCTAAAGCCAGCGGCACACGGTGCTTGTTTTCGTGCTGGATTGCTTGCTGGATGAAAATATTGCGTTGTGATTGGTACATTTCCGAAGATGGATGGAAATGCACCAATCAGAACGCAGTATTTTCATCCAGCAAGCAATCCAGCACGAAAACAAGTACCGTGTGCCGCTGGCTTAATAGTGAATTCGGCCACTTGCACTGGTGTACACTGAAGCTAAGACTCCATGCATGCGGTGAGCTCCGGCAAGCGGCTGCGGTGACCAATCAGGAGACAGACGCATGCCGGAGCTTGTCGCAACCGGACTTGCGCCTCCCTCCTGATTGGTCACCGCAGCATTTGCCGCAGCTCACCGCATGCATGGAGTCTTAGCTTGAATGCGAGTAAGGCTTGTTCATAGTCCATTTTTTTCATTTAGGAACATCTTAAATACATCTTCAAACACTTCTTGGCTAGTAGAATGCTTTATATAACATCCGTACGGATTGTTTGTTGAACTAAGAAGTTTATGAAAATGTATTTGAAACAATTTTAAATATAAGAACGGACTATGAACAAATCTTAATTGCGCTCAGTGTGCACCAGTGCAAGCGACCGAATTCGCTATAATCAATGGCTGCATTCAGCAGACTCAACAGTTGGACAACATTACTAGATTTTCCGCTGAATCTCGCTCCTGATTGGTAAATACTTCTGGGTCTATGAAGAATCTGAAAGAATGCTCCAATCACAGACAATAATCACTAAGCGCTCTCTGATCATTTTGTTCTACTGAACGCGGCCAATATCAAGCGCGTCGGTGTCGCAAACTGTCGGTGTCGAAATAACACGCACTTCAAAAAGAAACCAACCAAAAGATGGCCCACCCTGTACTTATCGTAGATCCAAACTAACGAAAAAAATGAAAAAATGCAATATAATTCAGCTAAAGGCCATCACACACAAATGAACGTAAACAGTAAGATGTAAGCAGTAAAGAAACTGACCAATCATAATCAATTATTCTCGTAAGTTTTAAAATGGCGTCCTTAAATTTCAATTGTGATTGGTCGATTTGCTTACTGCTTACGTCTTACTGCTATAAGGTCATTCTACAATACGTGTCGTAAATTGTAAGTCGTAAGAATTGGCGAATCACAGTCGATTATTAGAAAAATAATCGGCTATAATTGATCAGTTCTTACGACTTAAGTTCATTCTACAATACGTGTCGTAAGTCGTAAGCCGTAAAAACTGACCAATTATAGCCGATTATTTTTATAATAATCGACCGTGATTCGCCAATTGTTACGGCTTACAACTTACGACACGTATTGTAGACCAGGCCTTACAACTTACAACACGTATTGTAGAATGACCTTAAGTTCGTTTGTGTGGGATGGTCTTTACATTGTAGACCACGCTTTAAATAGAACAACAGCTAATGAGGCCTGGTTTGTTTTCTCTTGTTTGCTGTTCTGGGTGCTGAAAATTGTAGGCAAGCGATATTCCCTAGTATTTTAGCGTCCAACAGTTTGCCGGACTGTACTCGATCGTCAGCGTTTGAAATTCAAAGCTCTCGACGCAAAGTCAACGGTCGCAAAGGCGTGCTTCGTTGTGTGAGATTGTGCTGCTCGTTTCGTCGCATTGGTTTCGATACGCACACGGAACCTCGATTACGTTTCGCTTGCAAGAAGGGAATCGCTTCGAATAAAGCGTGCGCGCCGAAGTGCTGAATGAAACGGGTGTCATTGGAAACGACGTAACATCCAAAGACTCTCGGAGGCCACCCCGAGACAGCATGTTGTGAAGACAACGTAGGCTGCTCATTATTATCGTCATCTCGTTTTTTCTTTTTTTTTTATCATTGTTTGCATGTTAGTCGCGAAACATGATGCTGCATTCCGTTAATGTGTTAAATTGATTAAAACTTTCAGCAACGTCCAGATTGTTGCAAAGGATCGCCCCACCAGGAGGAGCACCATAGTCCTCAACAAGAAGGCGACGCAACGAAGGCGTGTTCGCCTAGTAAAGCAAAAAAAAAATGCCCAAAAGACAGATATCGGGCAGCAGTGAGTCAGCCCGATGTAACGGCGCGGGCGGCAATACGGCCATGAATGCGCCCGCGCACACGGACGCATCCGAAATATCGATCAAAGTGATCGTCAGAGTCCGACCGCATAACGAGCGGGAGCTGCAGGACAACAGTAAAACGGTCATCGAGACTGTGGATGACAAAATGTTGATCTTCGATCCGGAGGAGAAAAAGACGCCCTTCTTCTTTCACAATGTGGCTCAACGTGGCAGAGACATGCTGAAGAAGCAAAACAAGCACCTGCAGTTCATCTTTGACAGGATCTTTGGCTGGACATCCACAAACACAGATGTATTCGAAGGCAGCACTAAGAGCCTGATCAGCTATCTCTTGGATGGCTACAACTGTTCCGTGTTTGCTTACGGAGCCACTGGTGCTGGTAAAACTCACACAATGCTGGGCAACAGGGAGGATCCTGGTATTACTTATCTCACCATGGCGGAGCTCTTCTCTGAGATCGAGAGACAGAGCAATCATCGTGAATTTAACCTGAATGTGACTTACCTGGAGATATACAATGAAAATGTGCAGGACCTGTTGCACAAGTCGGGCCAGTTACACCTGAGGGAAGATGGTCGATGCGGTGTTGTAGTCGCTGGACTGAAGCCGATTGCCATTAAGAGCGCCGAGGAATTATTGTTATTTCTGGCGGAAGGTAATAAGAACCGTACTCAGCATCCCACAGACGCGAATAAGGAGAGCAGCAGGAGCCATGCGGTCTTTCAGGTGTACATAGAGATAGTCAACAAGTTGGACAGTCAGGTGCAACGAGTAAAATTGTCAATGATCGATTTGGCCGGGTCCGAGAGAGCCTCGGCCACTGGATGCAAAGGTATCAGGTTCAAGGAAGGTGCCAATATCAACAAGTCCCTGCTGGCTCTTGGCAACTGTATAAATAATCTAGCGGATGGTATCAAACACATTCCGTACAGGGATTCCAAGCTTACGAGGTTACTGAAGGACTCGCTCGGTGGCAATTGCCATACCGTAATGATAACCAACATCGGCCCTTCCAGCCTCACGTACGAGGACACGTACAACACCTTGAGGTATGCGAATCGCGCGAAGAAAATCAAGTCATACGCCAAGAAGAATGTGTCATGCGAGACGCATATCACTGGCTATATCAAGATAGTGGAGGAGCAGAAGAAAGAAATAGCCATTCTGAAGTCGCGACTGGCCGCTTTAGAGAATGGCACATTACCAGCTCCAACGCTGGATAGCAAGCCGAGCAAATGGATGCTGGAGGTGCACTGCAATCTGTCCAAGTTATACGGCAAAAAGAAAGACCTGATCGAGAAGATGTTGACTCTGGAGAGCTCCGACAAGATATTGGCCTGCAGGATGCTCTATAAGAGAGATGCGGACGAGAGACTGCGCAATTTAACAGCGGCGGATGATTCCTTGCCATCAGAGGAACAAAACACCAGTGGTAAGTTGCGCATCAACAAATCCCTGCATTATTTCCAGCGACAGAGAGATTCACTGAAAGCACAGACAGAAGCGGCCTGGCAAGAATTGTGCTCTGTGGAGACGGAGATACAAAGGGTGACGGCTTCGCAGCCGAAAGACAAGCAACTCGACGAGAATCTGCAGAACAGACTGTCTCTGCAGATCTGTGAGATCGAGAAATGTTGGGTCACGAGTATGCGCCAACACGTGAAGAGATTTTGCAGCCTCGTGCAATGCGAGAGGCAGTCGGTTAACATCATCACGAGAATGATGAGTGTAACACTGCAGAATTATTACAACATGGTAAAGGGCTACGGGACGATGACCGAGAAGATGCAAGCGGAGTTCAAGGAACTAGTGAAGCTGCTCGAAGGTTTCCGCAATATCAAATGGTCTGATTACGACGTGGCGTTGGACGACGCGACGCGGGATCTTGGTGCGTTCGCGTGCCTCAACACGATTGGAACGGACTTGTTTAACAACGCGACGCCAACGGCTGTATCGTCGGAGCTCGACGTGGAGGTGGAGCGCGACGTTCGCAGCACGAGCATCTTGAATACCACGTACAATGCTGACAGTACCTTCAACTCGAGCGACGAGTCCAGCGAAAGCGGCCCAGTGCTGCTCAGTGGCAAACCTACTGGATCTGGGACTTTATGTGAGAGGAACGCTGCGAAGAGAAGTGCCATCAGAAAGCGCGCGCTCTCCGATAAAAATCAGGAAAACGCCAGCACACCGGCCAAGCAGACGAAAAAGTTCACGGCCAATGGCAGCAAGGCCATTGCGCCTGGCGGCCGTGCGAACAAGGAAAACGTGCACAAGCAGAAACCACCTATTCATATGAGCGCTAAGAGTATCGCTATACTGAACAAGCTGAAAAACGGTACGGCTAATCATTCTTCGGCCGAGAACGATAACGAGGAAGGGATGAACGTGGCGCTCAAGACAGTGCGTAATAAAGAGAGACGCGCCCTCATGACCACACATCCGTATCAGAAACCGGCCTTTGGAAGGAAGTAAGTGATTTAGCGTTTTGTGACAATTCCGCTCGTTTTAAGCTGTGAAAATGATTCTCCCTTTCATTGATTGCACTCGAAATGTTTCACTCGGTGAAACACAATAGTACCCCGTCGATAGAGTGTCCCTGCGGTTATTGCCGGCAATCACCGTGCTGACGTTAAACGTGCCAGCATGTTACTCTAGCGTGAAATCATCAAACTCAAAACGAGCGAAAATTCATTCGAAGTCGATAGCGGCGAAGTCGGTACCGCCACTCGAAATCACAACGAGAGTGAATACTTTTGATTTACACGTTTTTTACTTGTTACAGGCACATTCCAGCTCTGCCATCCACCAGAGTCCCATGGTGATCTTGAACAAAGACTTAGCATTTGTATCATTTGGATATCTTTCGGACGTAAGATTAGAGAGATAATGACTTGTAAATGTCGCACTAATAAGTAATAAGGTTCTCTCTCTCTCTCTCTCTCTCTCTCTCTCTCTCTCTCTCTCTCGCCCCCCTTCCCTCCCCCGTTTTTCCCACTCTCCCTCCCACCCATCATTAACAATTAGACAAAAAACTTTTCAATTTAATCCTTCCCAAAGTAGAAATGTCGCTGATTCGATGTTCCAAGTAAAGGCTCTTTGTAAGTAAAAGGTAACGACGGTTTTAATATTATTATTATTATTATTATTATTATACTTTTTCTATTTTAGGCTATTATATACACACATACACAAGCACAAGTAAATATACATATTTGTAAGTGTGCAAGCAGATGTATCTGTACACGTTAGGAAAAGCAGAATGACAAATTTCGCAGTATTAATGCGACACTTTATTTGTACATGATGTAATTATATCTTTAGAAATTAGCCGAGACTGACCAACGAAAAGGTCGCATTTAAATGAAACGGAAAATAATGCTTTGTAATGGTATAATTTTAAAACACTTAAGGACTAGATTATCTTACTGTGCCGTGCATATAATATACTTGTTGGTTTCTTCTTTGAAGCTACATCGTTCGATGTTACGCAGAGCTTTGTATAGTCCATCGATAAAGCACGATGCAATAATTATTACCAAAATGCTACAACGCGCGTATCGTAACTTCGGAGCGAACTAACTTGATTAACAAGAGAGAAACAAAGAAAGAACGTTAAACTTATGTTTTTAAATACGTACTGACATATAACATTGTAGAATTATTTTCCTATTCTGTCGATTAATAATATATCTCCAAGTACCTCTTTCGGAGAATAAATCAATAAATTATTTGCAGGATCACTGAATGTAGCGTGTTATTACGAGAGAAGTGGAAACATCTCGGGAATTGGAATCGTGTGCACGAACGACGGCAGGAAGCCGAATGATCTGTCACTCACGTCTGACATATCTCGCATCCAAATTATTGTTGAAACTTTCCTGAAAAAGCGGTGCACGTTGCAACTCGAACGATCTGCAAATTACAATTGCAGATCGTTCGCAATCTCATCCACATGGGTGAGATCAACCACGTTTACTTACGTAGTCCCGCAAGACACGCGAAACGTGTCTGGAGATCTCTGGAATCGTCAGGTCCGTGTCCGACGACTCTCGTCGGCCGCTGACTATTGTCGGCAACATCGACCTCGAGCGATCGTAGAGCGAAGCGAATGACTGCAATAAGAACGCCAAAAATGCCAGTGACGCTAGCACGCTGATAGGATCGAAAGTGCTAAAAAAAAAAAGGGAAAAAAAAAGAAAAACAAGAAATCCATACCAATTCTCGCTATTGACAATTGCCGTCACGAGACAATTTAAATTGCAACTTTATCAATCACATCACCGACTTCTCACTTACTGATAATGAGCTGGCGATGCGGATGTGCCGAATCCGCTGTAATAACTGCGTTGAAGATGATTCGATTGTTGCGACGTAATGTAATTGGGTGAATTCAAGTGAAACGGGAGCGACGATGCGCTTCTAGGCTCCATCTTGTACATGTCCGATAAATCACACAGAGGCGGATTCCTACAAGACGAGGCTTGATTCGCGTTTGTGATCTCCGATATTTGCGTTTCACATAAAATAACGTCGAGCAAAGCACCTAGCAGAAACGCAAGAATAATCCTCAACATTTTTCTCACATTCGATCCGTAGGCCACTTATTATTTTATTATTTGTTGCACAGCGAGATTGTCGCAAGGTGCATTCCGCGAATCTTTGTTACAAATGCTTAAAGAGCTACAAGCGTTCACTAACACTCTCGCGCAATATGTTACGTCGTCGGAATTTCTATCTTGCATCTCGAAGATGAGACGACTCCGATCTCCGAGATGGTCGCTCGAATATATAATAAACGTTGGGAACGAAGGTAGTTTCCGGTCGACTCTTCATACGCTCTAGTTGTTTTTCTCTTTTTACTTGAAATCATCCTCAATTAGTATACGATTGCGAAAAGCGCAATACCCGGCTCACTATACTGGTACGTTCGTTCTGTAACGAGCGTAAAATTACACAAATTGATCCTTCAAGTGGAACATTACTTACAAAAGCTACCGAGAATAGCAGGTATCACCGTTGAACGAGAGAGAGAGAGAGAGAGAGAGAGAGAGAGAGAGAGAGAGAGAGAGAGAAAGAGAGAAAGAGAGAATCACCTAAAATGCGTTCGAAGAGCGCCAACTATCAACATGTATAATTTAATGTCTTTGTCGTTCATTATTTTTGTACAAAGATGATATTAGCGCTAATAGCGCGCTTTTCGAACACATCCCTAAAGATTTCTCTGTAAGCGAATCTCATTTTGAAAAAGGGGCGCGAATAGCCCGATAAGAACGATCGATTTCCCTATACAACTATCAAGGTTTATCTTTTATTGCTACTTTTATACACAAACACCGCTATCCAACGAGAGAGAGACTCTCTCTCTCTCTCTCTCTCTCTCTCTCTCTCTCTCTCTCTCTCTCTCTCTCTCTCTCTCTCTCTCTCTCTCTCCTCTCTCTCTCTCTCTCTCTCTCTCCTTCAGTAGAATTTATTTATATTTCGATTAAAAAGAAAAAGTACAGACGGGATCTTGCTTTTGGCAGAAATAATCGAATCACAATAATTCACTCCTATATAAAATAACATCAATATCTAACTTTTATTGTCGCTTTTGAGGTTCAACAAGCTCTTCACGGCTTCCTTATACTTGTTGACCGCGTACTGATCTTCCCCGTTGTTTATGAGATCCGAAACCGCAATCTTGTATTCCGTTGCATGCGGAATGGTCTCGTAATCACTCGTCGGCTCTGGCCATTTGTACAACGTCACCAGGTTCGTGCGACTCACGCTCGAGTCCCAGTCGAAGTATTCCATGTCCGCTGTGGATTTCTCAGCCTCCCACGGCTCGAGTCTCTGAAATTGAGGATTTCGCGATACAATTAATATACAACGGGAAAATGAAAGGACCGGACTTGTTGTAACTGCGGGGCTGCTCGCTACGGTTACTCATCCATAAGAGAGGAAAAGTAAGCAAAGTCCCGAAGGATAACTCGTTACTACTATCGAGTGATTCAGGAAGCCCATCGAGACACTTGGTGCTTTCTCTTTATTAAATTTTCGACATCTTTTCTCATTGAGATTTTCGCTGCCGCCCACGTACACGCGCATGTACATGTATATTTTGCAAGCGGACAAAGCTAACGGATTGCATTGACCGTGAGGAAATAAAAATATTACCGTTAGGTCAAGGTGAATTATACCGGAGATAATAGGTAACGTCGTTGGGTTGTTGGACACGTAACAGTAACGTAACGTTCGTCAACTTACCCAGGACTCGTGATACACCGCCGTAAGGAGATACCGCGCGTATTCCAAGTTTTGCTTCTTGGTCGGGCATCTGTCGGTCGTGATGGTGATCGTAGACGTTTCCGCGTTGTACCTGTCTCCCAGTAATCTCAACAACTTGTCTTTTGCATGAGTATCCAGGTAAAGAGAAGACAGCTTAATCCGCAGACTGACGATCCTGGCGAGCGGTTCTCTGATGGTGGGCGAGGAATAACAATAATCGGATGTGATGATATCAACGGGAAAATGCTCGGTGCATTTCTCGTCGGTGTCGAGAGCCGCGGGCCAGTCGGTGCAAAACTGCTTCAAGGCCTCGCAATGCCTGTGTATCGCCGGCGGTGTGAGATGCAGGAAATTGGGTATTTTCATGAGTTCAGCGTTGACATGCTTGTCGGGCGGTGTGCCCTTCTCCACGTAGCCCTGCCGCAACGGTAGGGGCACCGAAGCCGGATGAAAGGTTCGCGCACCCGGCCAAACGGACCCCCAATCCTGATCGGTCGGCATCTCCGTTGTTCTTGGCGGTGGTACCTTGACCTTATGCGCTTGTTTCCTCTGTTGAACCTTCCTTTGCGGATAAAGTTCTAGTACACGAAATTCTGAAGAAAGAAAAGATCTCTCACTCTCTCTCTCTCTCTCTCTCTCTCTCTCTCTCTCTCTCTCTCTCTCTCTCTCTCTGTCACTCGCTCCAAGTTTCTCAAGCATCACACGGCACGCGAAGCGGAGAAGCGAATCAACTGAAAAATCATCTGACAAAACTAATCGACGAGAGAGTGTCATTCGGCAGCGCGCGCGCGGCGTGATTGCCAGTTGTATGGGAAATAGGAAAGTGCTTCTTTTCTTTTTGTTGATCTCTCTTTAACCTATATCTCTATAACCTACATCTCGAGTCGTTACTCAGTAGGTCAAGTACTTGAGCACCTTGTGCCCAAATACCTCGTAGGCAATATTGAGAGAGAGAGAGAGAGAGAGAGAAAGAGAATTGTATCGATTGTTCGATTATTATTGCGTTGCACAGTGAGAGATAAGACGTGATTAGACGATTGCTGCGTGTTATTAATTTTGTCGATTAGTTTAATCGGGAATTTGATTTACAGCCACACCCTGAATCATACTAACGTTCCGGTTGCTCGTTGTCCGCCTGCGAGACGTTCGAATACGCCGCGACAAGCTTCAACGTTCTTGGCAGACCCTGCGTGAGCTTAGCATCGAATCTGCGAGTTATTAACAACATCCTCTTACACTTGAAACGACCGTGCAATTTTATTAAACCTAAAACCTAACCTCCCGTCGTCTCGTCGTCGTGGTCGTGTCGTCAACCGAAACTCGGTCACTAACCTAACCTAACCTAACGTGAGCTTACATGACTTAACCCTAACTTAACCCTGACTCATCTGACCATCTTGCGACGTATCTGAATCTTTGCTTTGAATTTGAGCCTAACTAATATCTATAAGACCCCTTTGTTTCACTTTCAATCGGTATAATATTATATGAATGAGAAGCAAGGGCACTTATTCTCCAAAGGCGAAATCGCGTCTCTCTGTATAGTTACCACTGGGTGTGGATTAAAAGTTAAAAGATTGTCAGGGGCGATCTGTATTCGACAGCGTTTGATCTGAAAACAAAGATGATTTCAAAGATGCAGGCAGATAGACAGACAGACATATAGGGCAAGGACAAAGGCGAACAGAAAGCGAAAGGAATTGATTACAAATGTCGCCTCTTAAAGATAGAACAACAAGAGCAGTAACAATGCATATATTTCCTGCTTATGTATACGCTGTAATTTTAATCTTACGTGTGATGCAGACGAAATATTTGGGTAATTTATAACGTAATATTATTGATCTCACACACGTTGCTATATCCAGTTGCTATATCCAGGTAAGCGTAAGGATAAAGGGATTATTCGCACTTTCAAGGTAATAACCTTGAAACATTAAAGGCTACTTCCGCAGACAGGCAGATCAGAAAGAATAATATGTGAAGGACACTTTTGAAAGCTGTCCGAGCTCATCGCTCGACGATTCCCGGTTTACGTGCATTTCAAACTTCACCATCACCATCACATAAGGGAAATGAGCGTGAAGTAATGTCGTAAACTGGGGGACGTTAACTGCCTCAACAGTCTAGATGCTTCTCTTTAAAACGGTTAATACCGATGGCTTAGTTATTCTCATGCCCTCCAGATCCCTTTGCAATTTTCAATCTTGTGCCAGTAGCTTTGACACACGATGTTCAATTTCATTGGTCAAAGTGTCTGATAATCTCAACAAAGACTGACGGGGGATGATTAGGAAAAGGGAGATATTTCATTGGTTACGACATTGTGTGTATATATATATATATATATATATATATATATATATATATATATATATACATATATATATATATATATATACATATACATATATAAGACTGCAAGAGCGTACGTATCACACGTTGTACGAGCAGTGTCCTTCTCAGGCTCGAGTCATCCAAGTGTACGAATAAGCGTCTTTTGAAAATAGTCGTTACGTTAGAACAATGAACAAGCAGCAAATTATCGTGGCTCTTTTGAGCTTTAGCTTAGGTATCATAGTCTTTTGCGAGGGCAAGGAGCTTTCGGAACTCTTGCAGGACGACAAGTTCATTGACAGCGTGAAGGAATGCATACTGGAGAAAGAAAAGTGCGACGACATGGGGTTTAAAGTGAGAAGTAAGATACTTTATGTTCGCATCTATATATCACATTCTATATATTCCCTGTATCATGTACGATGTACGATTGTATCTATCTATATACATGTGTCCTATCGCGCGCCCTAGCGCGCCGTCTTTCGCTTGCGAAATAGATATGGCATCGAGGCATCGTCAGGAAATCGAGTATTCGAATTTCTTCTCGCTGAAAGCTCAAGAGAAGTCGCTGGAAGCTTGAGAAGTTTTTATTTCTCTCACCTTCTTACATCACTCGTCAAAATTAAGGTTTCTCGTGTCTTGTGTGTACACAGATGTTCTACTGCCTGAACTGATCAGCAGAGATTGCGAGAGTTGTAGTCCTTCCTTGAAGAAGGACGGGCAAACATTGATATCGAACCTGAAGGAACGATTTCCTACCGAGTGGATCATAATCTCCCACATGTACGATCAGGAGATTTACGATATTCCTGGCTATTACACGACTCCGCTGATGCCACCGCTGTGAGAACCGACTCTTCTTCCTGCACTTACTTTTCCCGCACTGTTTTTAGTAGTATTGTTCTTCAGTATAAAACATACTCTATAAAACATACTCTAAATGTTGAAATATCTTATATGCATATGTATGTAAAATCTTAAAATATATATACAAATAGATTTTCTTCAATTGCATACGTGTGTGTATGTGCGCGTGTGTGTGTGTGTATGTATACATATATGTGTGTGTGTGTCTATACCGTCTCGTTGATGCGCAGCCGTCCAACGGGCTTCATCGCCGATGAGAAAAACTTCGATATATCTCGGCGATATTTCAATTGTTACATTAAAAACATCTTTCCAAAGCAGCATATACATACCGAAGATAAAAATATTCGAAACTTACACAAATATCATTAGTGGATATCGTTACGTATCACGTAAATACGGCGTGCTGGCGACCGCTTCGATCCTATTGTTTTCCATTGTATTCTTATATTTTCAGTTACCGCGTCTCGAAATGTTTACATGTTCGAAATGTAGATAATATGCTCGAGTTTGAAATGTTTCGAAGAAGTCAGAAGAACTTGAATTGCTGGGCACCTCGACACCTCGATAGCTGCGAATCTTTATCGGAACAAATAGCGGCGGGATTATTGCGAGACCGACTTTCTCCTTCGTGTGTCCTGTCTACGCGTCTCAACACATTGACGATAATCATACGCTATCGTTGCTTGGAAAACGAGCTCTCTGACTTCCTCGTTAGGAAAGACGTTACGAATCCGCACAAGATTTGCAAATCGCAGGGGCCACACGGGAAGAGAGAGAGAGAGAGAGAGAGAGAGAGAGAGAGAGAGAGAGAGAGAGAGAGAGACAGACAGAGAGAGAGAGAGAGAGAGAAAAGTACGTTTCCAAGTATCGCCGAGAGTATATCGATTTTACCGAGTTAGACAATTCTTTTCTGATGCAACTCGATAATAATGCAGGTCAAAGACTCGATGTGTCATGAATATTGATAGGGCAGACTGTGACGTCGACGTCGACATCGTCGTCGTCGTCGTCGTCGTCGTCGTCGTCGCCGCCGCAACGACAAGACAAGCCGTGTAGTATAGTAGTATATAAGGAAAAAGAAAAGGAAAAACAAAAAAAAAAGAAGAGAATGGAGAAATGTCAAACGAAAGTACCGAGACTAGAATTCGTTCGTATTCGCCAATTCGTGTTTATGTGTGTGCGCGTATCCTTACACACGCACACATGTGCACTCCTCTTGCACCTGGTGCCGGTTTTCGATTGCACAAAATGTCGATATTGCTGCGTATGTAGTATGTAGCACTCGACGATGCCCCGCTCTGATGGACGAAAACAGATAGCCAAACTTGCTCAACTTCTCAATGTTATCGACACGGTGTACCGTACAAAACGACCCACAAAACGACTAACGGTAACAAGTTACTCTTGAAAAGTAATTTCCCTGTAACGCTGAAAAAATATGCACGGCGATGGAGACGTGCGTCAAGTGCACGCGCATCTCGCCGAACATGTAATTCTTTTCCGTTCGTCACCCTACGTGTCGTCCTCCACTCGACTGTATAAAAGCTAGGTCCGCCGCTGTGATCCGCAGTCGCTGATTATCTTTCAACTCTCACGTTCGGCCTCGCGCAAAGATACCGCGCGCAGCGTCGTTTTACATATTCTTGTACTTTTACGTCGATGCGATGAAGGAATTTCTCTTGGTCTCGTTGGTCTCGCTGATCGCCCTGGCCGTCGCTGCCGAGAAATATCCTGAGAAATATGACAACGTGGACGTGGATAGAATCCTGCAGAACAATCGTGTCCTCACCAATTATATCCGATGCCTGATGGACGAAGGGCCCTGCACCGCCGAAGGCCGCGAACTGAGAAGTATATAACATAAGCGATGACACAACTAAAAAAGTTTTAGTTAAAAAGAAACGTTGAAGTTTTAGGAATAACAATGACATACTGTTGCGCGTGTGATGTAGGATTGTAACGTCTTATATATGTATCGCATTATTTAACGCTTTAACGCTTAAAGCGTTTCTTCTTCGAATCTGTTGCCCCCTCGTCGATCATATGTATGATGAATCTATCGTACGTGAATGTGTGGTGTTAATGATGTTTCAGATCAAAGTTATCAAACGACCGTATGAGACAAGGAGTTGCAAACGGATCGGTCGAGACTTAGAACTTATTCCTCGATTAATTTCAGGCGAATTTCTTGCTTTACTAGCTTGTTTGAATTCAAAGTCTAACGTTGATCGCCATGCTCACTTTCATCAATTGCACAAAAGCTTAATTGATTATTAAGTTACTAAAGAATTACGGTGAATAAAAGTGATGCTTCGAGATACATGTATCTTTTATCACTTTTCTCTCTCTCTCTCTCTCTCTCTCTCTCTCTCTCTCTCTCTCTCAACTCTCTATCGGCCAACCAAATGCAATTAATTCTATACATACAATCAATTACATATCATGCACATGATTTAACAAGACACGGTAGTATTATAGCGCCGGCGACCACCACAACGTGTTAATTGTACAGCGATGCATAACGCTGAAAACGTCATTGGGTGACACACGGACGAGCAATCTTTCAAAGTGGCACTCTCAAAGAGGAGACACCAGCTCGCGGGTGTTTGCCGTTGTGAAATAACATTTATTGATTTATATGGAGAAAAAATAATTTGCTGCGCCCGTTAATTGTCTCGACGTATTGCTGATCTGTTCTTGGAGTTTTGACGTCTCGTTCGATGCAGGAAAGAACGAGTTCTCGTCCAATGAGTTCCTGTCCAAGAACACGACATGGATACTTTACTCTCTCGTTCTTTCCGCTCGGATTGAGTTTATTCTCTGTCTCGGCTCGCTGCCACCTTCCTCAATTTCCCAGTTAGGAAATACATAGTGACCGACTGCAATTACGGCAGAGTTCGACACGTACTCTCTCCTCATTACATAACATTCACCATGGACTTTCTCATGCAAGATTGCATTCAGTCCACTTAAGTAATCGTCCACATTACATCCTTGAGATCGAAGTTATTCCGAGAGGAAAGTTCGATCGATGTGCATCGGATACGGTGTATCGGATATATTCCAATATACATTGTGAGATTGCGTCGAATTGCGAGACGAATTATATCGAAGCTACATTTCCTCTTTCTCTCGTTTATCCTCACACTCCGTCACACTCGAAGTATATTTACTTACAGCTCATAAATTATACATTTATATGATTGTAGAAATATAATTGTAGTTTATATGTAATTGCACTGGAGCAATAATGAAAATATGTATTTTCTTTGCTTCGTTTACTTTCTAGAGACATTGCCGGATGCTCTGTCGACTGGTTGCAGCAAGTGCAACGATAAACAAAAGGCTACAGCGGAGAACGTGATAAATCATCTTAAAATGAAGCGATCCAAGGATTGGGATCGACTAATCTCCAAATACGATCCGAATGGCGAATATAGAGAGCGCTTCGAGCGTTCGTAATACTTTATACATTACATGTGTTAATATAGTCGCTTCATTTTCTTTAACGCGTGAAACAATTGTTGCGTGAACTATAACTTGTTGAAGTATACACCACTGCGCGAAATATCGTTGATTTTATGACGCAATTGCTTATTCGAGCGCAATTCGATCGGCTGTAAGAATGCAATGTTGACAAACGTTTCGTTTTCATCAGTTTTCTGCAGAGTCAACATTCCTCGTGAATGCGATCCTATTTCGTTCATACTGTAAAATACGCTCAAATATCCATTATATTTCTGTCCAAATTTATGTGATTCTTCAATAAAAATGAAACAAATGATGGAAAGATGGATCATCATTGCCGTAAATACCGTCAAAATACTTTGATATATCAAGTATATTTATAGCGATAAGTTTATCCATTGTTACGTTGATATTCGTGTGTGTGTGTGTGTGTGTGTATGTGCGTGCGTGCGCGCGCACGTGTGTGTACATACGTACGTATGTGTGTGTACGTACCTACGTATGTGTATGTACGTATGTATGTACGAAGAATACACAGGTTGTTATGGTCAACTTTTTTCGTTCCAGCAGACTCTACAGCTTCTTCATTCAGCACGTCTCTTTTTAACCAATGATCCAAGCTGAAATGAACAAATGATAATACACATCACTCTTATAAATTTATGATAGAGAAGGAAATCCACGTAAATTATAATATAAGATGATGAAATTCTGGGGATATGTAGAAGAAATTTCGATAAAAGCGATATACTGCTATTGTTACCCTGTTGTTGCTATTAATTATAAAAAGTGAAGTTACTTGTCATTGAGGTATATTAAAGATATTTATCTAAATATTCCCGAAATTCCATTTTCCCTCAGTAAATATCGTGCGCACGCACAAAAGAAAATATTGTCACATGTGAACATACAAGGTCTGAAATTGCAGGCAAATTATTGGTTTGATCAGTAACAGTATTTTCTTGCTCACGACTCTCCTTCTGTGTTGCTGTCTTTTTCATATTTCTATGTTGTGGAAAAGTAGGCATGAGTTTTGGGTCGCACGCTGTAACATATCAAGTCAATTAATTGATGACGATGAAACTTTGGTAGATCATAGAAAGGAATGTCAAGTGCCGTTTATACTAACGTAACGGAGCTTCCTTGAAATAACTGCTTTGCAAACATTCTTCGGCAGTCGCTCTTTTCTTCGGGTCGTACATAAATAAGAAATTTAACAATCTGAGACCAGCAGCACTCAGCCATGGAAATCTTTGTTTCAAGTTGTTGTACGGTTGTTGCTTGAGCGTGAAATTCTGTAGCGCCGGTAAAGAATTGAATTCTGGCCAAATTGCTTCACTAGGTGTGCCCAATAAGTCGACGATTAGCTCTAGCTGTGCAATCTCTGATCTACCAGGTAACAAGGGTTTGTGACCCAACAACTCTCCTGATAACAAAACACATTATACAATATGGGACACATGCAATGTTCAAGAGATATACGCGTGTTTCAAATACATGGCCGTAATAACGTGAAGGAAAGAAATTCTTTTATAGCTCCCTTCTTTACCTAGTATGCATCCAGCCGCCCACATGTCTACAGATGTCGTTTGTGTTTTGGCTTGCAATAGCAATTCTGGTGCTCTGTACCACAATGTCACAACTCGAGGTGTCATTGGCTTTAAGGGTAAACCAAACCATCTAGCCAGTCCAAAATCGGCAATTTTTACACAGCCCTTGTCAGTCATAAGAAGATTGGAGACTTTTAAATCTCTATGAACAATAAAATTGTGATGCAAGTAACGGAGGCCCTTCAGTACTTGCAATACTATACATTTGACTTGACTCTCGGAAAATGGTGCTTGCATATTGTCCAATAAACTTGCCAAGTCTTGTTCGCAATACTCCATTGCAAGGAATATGCTTTCTAAACTTCTGCCCACTACCACTTCTCTCAAATGCACAATGTTCTCATGCCGACAGGACAGCAAGACCGATATCTCCCTGAGGCCACTTACTGGCAGTCCATCCTTCTCATGCTCCATTCTTACCTTCTTCAATGCGACAACTTTATCATTCTTTGTATCTCTGGCTCTGTATACAATTCCATAAGTACCTTCTCCAATACGATTCAACTTTTCAAACTCAGAAACAAATCTACATTTACCAAGCTGCAACATATTAACAGGATTTAACTTCTATAAGCGAGACACGACTGTACACAGAATACTGACTACTGAGATAAGTGAAAATTTTATCAAATTTTACAATATCATGTTCTGGTATTTCCATAGGTTTTCCAGTTAAGAAGGATGTTAGTACTCCTTTCCTAGTTATCGGCGCCGAAGGATCTGGTCCCGAATCAGAGACAGTCTTCTTGTCAGTGTCATTACGTTCCACAGATTTTTTTTCCAAACTTTCGTCTAGGGTGGCAATATTGTTATATAGTCGTATTGTTGTACAGTTATTTAGTATATAGCTATACAGTACAGTTACATATTGTTTTACAGTTATATTATATATATATATATATATATATATATATGGCAGAATGTTATATCTTATATCTTGTTTTCGAGATCAATACAATGTTTCATTTGTTTCAACATCTCATTACATGTTTGCAACTGTTGTTATCCCGCAGAATCTTTGAATTGCTATTTTCTAAATGTGCACATTCATTTCTTCTGGATATTAACGTAAAGCTATAACCAATTATGGCTTTAATAAAGACGATTCCTTCAAATAATCAATTAACGATATCATTAATAATAAATGCGTACGACTAGAAAATCCTAATAACTCGGTCATATCCAGTGTTGAGGCTATCTCACCGCTCTAATGAATGTAGATCGATATTCATAGCATTTATACTTAAGACGTTTTAAAATTTACAATCTTTTGTCATATACCTTTCGTCATTTTTCAATTACAATTGGACTGAAATGTAAAGAAATCAAGAGCAATTGTCACCGTGCAAACACCACTAAATACCATTGAGACCAACGTCAGCGATACAAATAAAGCCGGTTGCACACAGAGCGCAGGCATGTTTGCCGCGCAGCGGAAATTGATTAGGGAATACTTCAGTAGCCAATCAACATTCCAAATGTCGCGTGTTCGTAAATACTATTTCCGAGCAAGCAAGATGCTAAATGGCTACCGCAGTATTCCCTAGCCAACTTCCTCTGCACGGCAATCATGCCGCGTTCTGTGTGCAACCGGCCTAAAGCCCGTATCAGACTACGGATTGGGATTGAGCACTGGATTGAAACTTAGGCCGCGTTCCGTTTCACGCATATGCGCGCATTTATATATAGTTCATGTTACGTATACTGTAGAAAATGCGCGCATATTGCGTGAAACGGAACACAGTCTTAATCAATCAAGAGGCCTGTTCGTTTTGTCTGCACTGCTGAACTGGTGCAACAAGTTGAAATGAGAAAACCTACGTTTGTCTCACTTTAACTTAATGCACAGGCCTAAGGCTAAATTCTTTTCCAATTGGTCAAGTTTCAATCCAATCTCAATCTCAATCCATAGTCTGATACGGGCTTAAAGCTGGTTGCATACAGGACGCGGCAACGCTTGCTATGCGGCAGAGATTGGCTAGAGAATATCAAGCAGTAGCCAATGGTTGTATTTCAACCTGAGAGAAACCTGTGAGCGGCCAACACGGCATTGGCCGCGTTCAGTAGAACAAAGTGATCAGAGAGCGCTTAGTGATTATTGTCTGTGATTGGAGCATTCTTTTAGATTCTTCATAGACCCAGAAGTATTTACCAATCAGGCGCGAGATTCAGTGGAAAATCTAGTAATGTTGTCCAACTATTGAGTCTACTGAACGCGGCCATTTTCTGCGACACCGACTTTCCTCACTGGGAAAGGACGCCATCTGCATCCATTTTGAGAGGGGAACTACGATGCTACATCCACTTTCAGGTCTCGGTAGTAAAATCTGCATGTGGTGGAAGTCCTTGCTACATCCACTTTCAGGCGGTTTATGTCCGTGCTGCAACCACAGTTGCACCCATTTCTAATACTATTTCCGGGTAAGCAAAATGTTGAATGGCTACCGCAATATTCCCTACCCAACTTCCGTCGCGCGATAAGCGTGCCGCATCCCGTGTGTGACCAGCCTAAAGAGTATTTCCTTCGATAGAGTAGCATCTTATATTTTTATGTAATGTATGATCGAAGAACAGGAATTACCGGCATTTTTGGCGCGGAAACTTATGGAGTATGTACAGTCTGTCAGTCCGTATGTATCTCGAGTCTTATCGAGGAGTAAAATGAATGATTATATAGAATTGCGTATGATATCTAGCTAGAACAATAAAGTGAGACAAGTTTCATATTATTTCATATGTTTTGTAAATCGGTGCGCGCTTATAAAGCAGGTACACGCGGGTCTTCTGTTTTCTTGTTCCATCCAGTGATATCTTAATGTTACTGAAAGAGAGAGAAAGAAAGATATCGCGCTTATATTTCCGACAATGACGATGATTGTTGCTGATTATCCCGTGATTACTGGTGTAACGGAAATTTTTTCAAACAACGATAAAGATTTTAAGGAAAATGAACATCATATCGAAAATGTTGAGTCTAACATCCCCAAAGTTGCTTCAATATGTATCAATGAAGAAACACATAACCAGAAACATAAGGAAAACGTTGAAGAGTACTCAGGAGAAACCGTTTGCGACAGCATATCCAATGAAAAAAATAGCTCTTGCAATTTTGAGAATTTACAAAACAACAAAGTCTCTAATAATCCAACTGAGAGTGATCATCTAGATGATAATACTGATCTGATTGAAAACAGCAAAAGCATTGAAGTAAAAGAAGCTGTTGATAAATATTTTAGTGATAATAATGAGAATAAAATTAGTGAAACAATATTTTCAAAGAGACTCATGACCTTTGTGAATAGTGATCCCGAAGAAGAGACTGATATATGTGAAACATCAAATGAAGGATCTCTTGCTGACAGAAATAATTATTCCGGATCATCTGAACAAATACAAATTGCAAAATACAAGGAAAGTTCTAAAACCAAATATATAAGAAGGATAGTAGACAGTGAATCTGAAGACGATGAAGAAGCAAGCAATATTTATAATTCATCTCAAACACCCTGCAAAACTTTAGATGTTACTGTAAGCAAACATATAAAATATATTATTATTTGATAATTCTGTAAAGTAAAATGCTTGATATTAATTTTATGCCTGTATTATATCTGTATAAATCTGTATATTCATGTTCCCTCTTTTCTTCGTTAGACTAATGGTTACCAGGTTCTAATTGATCCCGAATCTGAAGAAGAAAAAGAAACATTGGACAGTTCTGTCGCATTTGATGGTACTGATACATCAAAAATCAAGAATGTTAAAGGAATATCTGCTCAAAAAATCAAGGTATGCTCATATATACTTGGTTCTTAACCCCTTGACTGTGGAGGCAGAAATGTACTAGTCGTGCCATTTTTGTGTTGGAAAAAATGTCGAATTTTCTTTATGATAATTTTATAATAAAGGTTTTTGGGGTTGCTGAATCCAAATTTGATATTAAAATTCCGAAATTCAAAATGGCAGATCCAATATGGTGGGTAAAAATTATGAAAATAATCGGATATTTATGAAAGTGGGTATCTATATGTTTTTGGGATCGCTGAATCCGAATCTGATTTCAAAATTCAAAATGGCGGATCGACCATGGTGTGTCAAAATTAGAAATCTTTCGCTATTACAAATTCATTCCAGCATGTTTTTTTTTTTTTTTTATAATAAAAGGTTTCAAATGCGATTTTAAATACTATAATTTTAAAAAATTAGTATAACTATTATAAAAATAAAAGAATTAAAATTATAAAACAAACAAATTATAAAAACAAAAGAATTATAAGACAAAAAGAAATTATAAAAACAAAAAGGGGTATAAAAACAAAAAAAAGTATAAAAACAAAAAAAAAGATTATAAAAACCAAAAAAATTATAAAAACAAAAAATATTAAAAATTATAAAAACAAGAAGGCGTAAAAACTATAAAAACAAAAAGAAATATATAAAAATGGAGCCAATAACCGCCACGTCCTCGTTTCGTGATTCCGGGTTCGGCAGAGAGCGGTTATATAAATATTTTTCTTTTTTTACTTAAAATTTTTTTATTCCACTATCATAATTCTTTACATTTTGATACCAAATTCGAATTTATCGACCTTAAAAACCAATAGATACTCATTTTCATGAAAATCCTATTATTTTCATAATTTTAACCTGCCATGTTGGGTCCGCCATTTTGAAATCTCAAAATTTTGATATCAAATTCGGATTCAGCGACCCCAAATACATATAGATACCCACTTTCATAAAAATCCGATTATTTTTATAATTTTGACTCGCCATGTTGGATCCGCCATGTTGAATTTCGAAATTTTGATATCAAATTCGGATTCAGCGACTCCAAAAATAGATACCCACCTGTATGCAAAAGACAATAGTTTTACTTTTTTTTTTCTTCGACGCGTGTATACACGTCATCCACACTGGTAGCACGACTTTTTCGATGCGGCTATACACGTCATCCACAGTCAAGAGGTTAATATATTTATCCTTGAAAGAAGGATGAATCCTAGTAAGTAATGGCTTCTACACACAGAACGCGGCGACGCGGCAACGCGTTGACCAATTACAGTCCTCTTTTTCCAGAGATATGAGTTATATAACTGTAAAAGAAAGACTGTGATTGATCAACGCGTTGACGCACTGCCGCGTCCTCTGTGTAGAAGCCATAAGCAGACAAATATATTTGATGCAAGATGAAATGTATGAAATTGATGAAACTGCTTATGCTCGAAATCTGTGAAATATAGGGTTCTTTAAGAGTTTCCAAAATTGAAGCAATGCATAAAATATACAGCGAAAGTCAGCGTTTATTGAGGGAAACGGGAGTCTCTTTGCCGTATCACAGGCCTAAACAGCGTACATTGCAAGAATTTTTAAACAGAAAGAAATTATCTGTGTCTCTTCCAAAAGCACCTTCCACATCTGCGAAACTAAAAATGTCATCTGCTATAGTAAGGTAAGCCTACGCACACACATATTTGTGTAGATGTTACAAAATATCACAAAGTACAAAATAAATAATTCTTCATTGTATGACTTTGAACAGCCAAATCCTTGCAGAAAAGGAAAAAGAAGCAGAAGACTTCTACAAATCCTCGGATTCAGAAGATGACACACGTGAAATTACATTATTAGCTTGTGAGAATGTAAAAAAATCTTCCATTACAAATGAAGAGAAACCTGCTACAGACATTGAACTCATCTGTGCTCCAGATACAAAAATTAATAAAACGAACGATCAAGATTCTCATGGTAATGGAGAAATTATACAACAAGACAATATAAATCTTGTAGCTCATGAAGCAACAGTTGAAAATGATATCTGCGAGATAGATCAACAAGATAATGGTCATGTACTTGGCTTGCCGCTTCCAAAATTTACAGATGATACCTCAATCGATAGAAAGAAGCTGCTACCAAACCCGGCGTTAAATTCGAAAGTTACATTGAAAGGATCACCAGGTATGATTATTGATTTAATGGATTACACGGAGTCGAATTCAAAGGGTCTAGATAGTTTATTGGAAAGATTTTTCTGTAAACACGTTGTCAATACAAATAAGCAGACTGATAACAGATCCGAAGTAACCGTGGTACATTTGCAAGATACTCAACATGGTCCCATTCCGATTAAGGAAGTACTTCCGTATAAATTACCCGCTGATACCGATAATCCCGAATTGAACAAGCCTGGCGCTAAATTGATGCGTTTGAAAGAACAACTGAAGCTGCAAATGTCTCTTAAACGAAACGAAGAGTGGAAGCAGAAGGAAATAGAATTGCAGACACAAGAAAAAGAGATATGGAGTGAGGAAGAAGAAACTGAAGATCATTTAGACGACCGAGGGAAAGTCGATATCTTAGAGTCAAGTGACAGCGGAGAGAGCGAGCCTGAGGAGAACGATGTCTGTATTAAGGATAAGAAAAGAAAGAAGTGCTTGTTTGCAGATGACGAAGCAGAAGTTACAGAAAATGAAAATTCAGATGCAGATGAAACAGATACGGATGAAGCGGAATGTACAGCGAGCAAACAGTTTGCGAGTTGCAAGCATGGAGATGAAGAAAAATGCACAAACGATAACGAATGTGACGTAGAAATGGAAGAGAAAGAAGGAACCGAAGGCAAAGACAAAGGCGGCGGAAATACAGATGAAGATGAGGATGAGGATGGAAATGACATTGAAGATGAAACTGAACTTACAGACGAGGATAATGATAATATAGGCGAGAGCATTAGCGTCAGAAATGAGAAGAAAAGAAAGCGGCTGATACAGAAATATCAAGACGACGACTCAGAAAACGAAGATAGTCAGTTAAGAAGCATAATGGAAATACATACGTCCAAAGCACATTCCGAAGATAATGGTTGGACAAGCGAGAATAAAAGTAATATACAAAAGCAGCCAGAAGTTACAAAAAGTCAAATATGCAAGACACCTATGGCAAAGACCAGTATGCTTGATTTCGTTTCCCCTATAACGCAATTGAGTATATTGAACGGTTCATTGGACTCTGACAGAAAAGAACACCCAGTTGATAAGCATGATTTCATTTTCACGGTAAATAGACAGAGTGAACGGTCTTCGCAAAATGCACATGAGATTAGGAATAAAGCTATTTCGCAAAAGAAGCTGTTTTACGACATCGAGGAAAGCATAGACGATGATTATCTTATGCAATTGTGCTCAACCAAATTCGAATCTACACAGAGGAGCGATTTAGGTTTGGAAAGTTCAACGTGGCAATCTAACAATGCTGTGTCGCAGTTACACGAATTGAATGCGGGAAGTCGCAATGCGAGATTGATCGGCATGCAAGAAGAAAGAAAAAGTTCAGGGACAAAAAGTAAAATCTCTCAAGGGAAAAGTCTCTTCGGCAATCCTATATCACTCAACACAACGAAAGCAGAGCAAGTCAGCCCAGTGGATTCAGAAAGGTTGAAGTTGAGGATTGTTTCCTCAGACGATGAGGAAAATACGTCGGAAGAGGAAGATACGTTCTTAAAACACAGGAAACGTCCAGCCAAGAGATTAGATTTATCTGATTCAGAAGAGGAAAACGCCCGGTCTTCCGATGAGGAGGACGACAATGCGAATGGTGAAGAGACGGAAGAAAATGGATATGTGGACTATGATTCCGAAGAGAACGAAGTGATGGTTGTACCGACAAAAGACATGCAAAAAGTCGCGGCTAATTTTCTAGAAGAGGAAGCCGAACTGAGTGAGAGTGATTGGGATTCTGCAGATGAAGATGAGAAGGACTTGGATAAGTTAGAGTTCGAAGAGGCCGATGAAGAACACATAGACGAGGATGAAGTAAAGGACCAAGTAGGAAAGCTTCATACGAAGCAGGTGTTGGATGAAGATAAGAGGGAAATTCGACTGCTTAAGGAATTGTTGTTTGAGGATGGTGATTTACATACGGATGGAGCGGGTCGTGAGCGGAAATTCAAATGGAGAAATATAGGTACGATATGCATATACATGTGTGTGTGTGTGTGTGTGTGTGTGTGTGTGTGTCTTCGCAAAATATGTGTGAAATTTATCCAAACATGTAATATATACATGCGACTAATATTACTTGCAAATGTTGCTAGATAAATTGGGAAACGACATTGAGATGCCTCAAGTGCTTGTCGAGAATGATGGTTGGGTAGATGTGCAAGAAGACGAAGAGGAAGCAAAGTGGAAGAAACTCAGACACGAAAGGGATAAATTCCTCGAAGAGAGAATGGTATAAAAATATTGCGCAGTAATGTGAATCTTTGAGAATATTTACACACGCGTAATTCTTTTCTACATATGTCTCTAGAAAACTTTAAGCAGCGGAGTCGAAGATGATTTGCGCGATAGCCAAATTTTTAAATTTGGACTGAAAACAGTCGAGAAAATCAGGAACAATCAATCTCAGAAACAAGATATTTCTTCCGACAAAGTGAACTTATCGGAAAATACAGAACCGATTATGCCACGGAATATAACGGATCTTTTATATGTTTCAAACACTGGGAAGAAATCTCATACAATATATGTAAGTTTATGCCCGTTAATGGATTAATAACTACGGAAGTACTCTACACGATGTATCGCCGCAGATTTTCCACTCAATTCAGATTCAACAAGAACCTTCGCTCACGCTTCTCCTATTATCTCTTATTGTACCTTTATGATTTATGAGAGACTCAAAGAAAAATTCACCGCACCATTTTTGTTCGCACCTTTTATTCGTGTAATTTTTACATGCTTCCACACATTGATCAGAAAATATATATCTAATATATCGCTATATACTTTTTGACAGAATGTTATAAAAAGGCGTTCACTTTTAAGTCGAGGAGAAGAATCATTGGCGAGAATAGCTTCGTTAGCGAAGCAAAGTGATACTGTTTCTCATACGACGAACACAAGGAATTTTGTCTTCCAGTATATCGATCCATCTGTAAGTAATACATCCAAAGAAGAAGAAACTAGCGAAGAGAAGGGAGGAAAGGACTGGAATTTGCAAAATCAGGTAATTCATAGGAATTACATCCGTTTACATAGTTTGAAGAAAAAGGTTCATTGCTACTTCGAGCTCTCTGCTTGCGTGATTTTCATATGCTCCCATGCTGATCAGATATCTAATCGGAATACAATGAAATATTTCTTGACACAATCATAATAGACAACCAGATAACGAATATTTGCTTTTTATAGCCTCGAAAAAGAAAGGTAACATCGAATTTTTCCACGACAATGAAGAAAAGGCGAAAATAAAAATTGTACTTACAGAAAAATGATTTTTATTTCTTATAAGATTATGACGTGTATCTGTATGTATAGAGAAGTAAAATTTGTTACATAACTTTCTTTTTCTCTCTCTCTTTTTTTTTTTTTTTTTTTATGTACAGAACGAACAAGTTTGTATATTTGTTACATCGAGAAAAAATGTACAAGAACAACCTTGGCAAAGGCACTGATGTAAAGGGGATCTTATTGGTAGATATGATATAAATAGTAAATATATACAAGCGTAGATCACATAGTACAATCGAAGAAAGAAAATGGTTTCTTTTTATAAAAATTTCCTCCTTCGTAATATCGTTTTGAAGGAGGGGGCAGTCATTTGACTGCCCTGTAATTATACGTCTAGATTCGTTGCAATCATATTCGCCGCCAAATGTCATTGATCGGAAGTGGGCTTAAGAATATGATAAACGGTACTTACGCATAAAGTATTTACACATAAAGTATTTTAGATTGTAAAGCCTGAGATAAGAAAGGAAAATCGAATGTTTACCTCATTTTCCTTCAGATTTATACTTTTATAGTTGTTACAACTATATCTTATATTTCTGGCTAAGAAAATGCTTCAACCACACTTGACGCTTTCAAAATATCATATAAAAAAATCGAGAACAACTGGAACGATTGTCTTCTTAATGATATAAAAAAGCAGATTGTTGAGCTTCGCACTTGATCTGTCCAGCGCATATTCGATTACCATAGATCTTCCTTCCCCCTCCCTCTCCCCCTCCTCTTCTCTTTTCCTTGATAGAGTCGGTTTTAGTGCCGGAAATTCGGGTTGTCCGTTTGCCACCCTTTTGCATTTGGACCAAATTGGTATACCAATCTTCGACCGAGTACCGGCAGAAATATTTTGCTTTTATAATAATACCTAATGACATATTCAGACAGAAAAAGATTCAGCCTCCGTGAACAAATGAAGAATATTCCGAAATTTTCTACATTTCCCGATGTTGAAAATTATCATATTGTTATTTATTAACCAACCTCATAGCTCTGCTAAGCTTCTCATAAGTCATTTTTGTATTCCCTTTTCGCGAGCCCCATCGTTTCGCTACTTCGTCGCTTTTCACAAAGCGAAACTTGGCTTGCGAGTAATCCTCCCAGCAAATCAAGCTAGGGCATGTTTCTCTGTTACGTAACAAGTCTCTAATAAACTCCCACAGTTTCCCTTGACTGGCAGCTATAAGTGCAAATCATTCAAGTCGATAAATGCATAGTTATTTCAATATACATTCTCAAATTATATTGAAAGCTATGATGTCTCGCGATGATACTTACGGTTCTTTTTTGTCTTTAATATTCTCGGTCTGCCAGGTAATCTTTTGGTTGCAACCTCCACACTGTTGTCTGATTCTGCGTCTGAAGAAATGAAGAAAACGCGTCAATGCCAAACATAAATGTATATCGATCGAACGGATAAAATGCTCACGTCTCTTTACGACTTACCGGATATATTACTGGAACCGATTCGCGCATACTCATCTTCCGATTGTGACTGAATAGTACCAAAGGACGGCACTGCAAAAGCAACGACATTATGTTTCAAAAGTTTGTAAGATTCAAAAAAATGTGTGGTGTGTGTGTGTTCTCCCTATTCTCCTCAAAATTTGTCAGAAAGAAAAACAAGCGAAAATTCATTCGAAGTGAAGATAGTATACCTTTTGGAATCGTAAGAACGTTTAATTCAAACCTGGAATGGCTTCTGAATTCACAAACGAGTGAATGTTCGAGTGGTGAATTGATCAGAGCTAAATTTGTGCCTGTCACGTAGTCTTCAGAGAGTACTCTTTCCAGAGAATCATACTTTTCAATTTTGAATGTAAATATATGTAACATTCGATGATACAAAGCGGAAGAATTTACTGCTTATATGAGAGAAAAATCACCGTCGAATCTGGGCCAATTCTGCTTTTCAAATGGAACATCGAGATTGAGAGGCACACACATACACACATACAGAGAGAGAGAGAGTGTGTGTGTGTGTGTGTACAAATTATTATTTGAGGATTTTTCGACATGGAAATTAACAATCAATAAGATATGTCTTCAACATGGAACATATCAAATCAGTTGTAACAAATTCTTCCCGAGGAAATATCGACTTTATTATCTTCATTCGAGGATCGATCTCTAGATCAAGGTCGGAGAATTCTGGGATACCACTGCTATTGCTATTGCTTGAGGCTCGTCGTCGTTACGTACATAGATTCGAAACACGTTGCGAGTGAAGAAGATCGTACAATCGATCGCCGTATACAGGATCGTGATTGATAAAATCTTGTCGCGTAAAAGCGACGATCTCTTTCCCGGGAACTGCGAGACTGTGCTGAATGGAGCTGTAAGGTTGGCCTATATACGACGCGGCTGACACAAGCCAGTTTATTGTTTCCTCCTGACACCAGTTTCTGATAGGTTTGTCCAACCATCCAGTGCCGTCGATCTTCTCGTTCTCGTCATCTATTTAAATGGAAATCATGTTAAAACGTTGTACTTGCCGTCGGCATTTCGCACGCGGAGTCGCGATGTTTGCGCACCGCGCAAATACGCATAAATACATTTCGAATGCGAAAACGTCGTTTTAGATTGATCAAACGATTAAATGCTAAAGTTAGCGCGGTTTCCTATAAATCGATGCAACACGTCAACGCTAAACAGTCCCGGGAAATCCCCTCCAGCGACTGTCGCCGCATTAGTAATCACGCAGACCCGTGGCGGCAGGCGAAATGAAAAAAGAAAAAAAAAAGTGGAGGTCGCTTTTGAAGATATCACCACGACGGTTCGCATCGCGAGTGCGATTCGTTTGCGTTGGTCGCTGGTTTGTTGCTATGTTCACAATTATCGAAACACTGTTTCATCACACGAGTAATAATGTATCCTTATTACCGTTAATTAATATTGTACTAGCGAGATTGGCAGAGTCACCGAATTTCAACAGCTTGTTCACTGACGTCGAATAGAGAGAGAGAGAGAGAGAGAGAGAGACAGAGACAGAGATATCGTACGGTCACACGTCCGAAGACACTATCTTTTCATTTTTTGTGGACACTTCTCTCAAACTTAGTGGGAAAAGTTTCTGAATTTTGGACGTTCATTTTTAGCATGTGCTTTGCGTCTATCCTCGAACTCGATAACGAGTTTCTCGTTTTTGCGCGAAGGTAGTAGTCTATATTTTCTTCTATATATTCGCGCTCTATATGCATCATTACCGAATGAATATTTCTTCCTGGTCAATTCGCATCCACGATTTGCTAAGAAATTGCTCCGTCTGGGCACCAGAGAATCCATATCCAAGAGCAAATGTTCGTTTTCATCCTCGTGCATATTAATGAACGACGGATACATCTGCAATCACATACACACACAAGCACATGTACATTGCATGTATACACACACACACACACACACACACAAACGCGCGCGCGCGCGCGCATGCACGCGCATGACTGCCAATTAAAAACATGATCCTTCGGAAGGAAATACGGGATATGCTAATTAACGTTTTTTTTTGTGGCATCTCTTCTCTGGATTGTAACTCACCTCCGGCAAGTCGTTCTTGCTGTAATTACTAAACGAATCCATCTCTTATTCGTTGGGTCGTTATCTACACTTTCACCTTAGTCTTATCATGTAACAGTAACTTATCCACGTAAACAATAATACGCGTCCATACAAGTCCGCAAAGGGGAAGAAAAGCAGCCACCAGTCGCGTCCACTTGCACTTGTGCGACTGATCGACAATTGTATATACAAGAATCAAGTGCGTCGTGCGAGAGCGCGTGCGACGGTAATTGATAAAGAATGTATCGTCGCGCGATAACAGTTCATCGCATCGAGTCGTCCTCGAGACGAGACGGACGAGAGAGAGAGAGAGAGAGAGAGAGACAGAGAGAGAGAGAGAGAGAGAGAGAGAGAGAGAGAGAGAGAGAGAGAGAGAGAGAGAGAGAGAGAGACAGAGACACACACACACACAGAGAGAGAGAGAGAGAGAGAGAGAGAGAGAGAGACGAAATGAGACACGTCGTTGTCGTCCCGATGATAGACTTAGCTAGCGAGTTAACAGCGCACCACTATCAGTATCAACGATCAACCGCGTTTTAATTCGAGCGATCGAGCCGCGAGGTTGCTCCACTCGACGAGGAATGACGAGGAAGACGAATATGAGACGACTGCGACTGCCGAGAAATCGCGGTGGGACGCGACCGCGGTCTGAGCAGGTTTCAACGGGGATTTCCCGCTCTGCGGTCGCGGCCAATCACCGCCACCGTACACGTCGAGTCAAGCCGCGATAGCTGACGCAGTAATTGCCTGTGCTTCATTGGCGTCGATCTCCTCAACACGACATATACGCAACGCTGTTATTATCATCATTATCATTATTGCTATATACATCCGCGCGCGTGTGTATACACATACACACGCACGCTCTTTAGACCGATTATTTATCATATATTATAAATCAAATCATGTTTCACAGAGAGCAATCATCGCTCTCGAATCATAGCTCTCCGCTAGTGTATCCTTAGATTGCTAAAAACAATCTCAAACACCGAGCGAGCTACTTGACGGCTACGTTGACGGACGATTTAAACGGGGGATATCTTTACGGTCAATCTTCCGATTATATCCGACCGGGCACTTATTCCGAATACACATTTGACGCATTTGACATTGAACGCATTGAACATCATTTGATCGTTCGATTTTGAGTCGATTTCCGAGTATAAACGTATATCACATGTAACATTGTTTCAGCGTGAGAATCTAAAAGATTCGACCGTCACTACGTGTGGCTTCTGATTGAACGAAATAGTTTGGTATTTTCAATATATCAATTCGTTAAGTTGCATCGAAATATACAAGTGAGAGACGGACAATTTGAAATTTCATAAGGCATACATTTTGTATCTCGCAGTAGAGGCGCCTATGCCTGAGTTTATTTATAGTACAACATGATGTATCTTGTAGATATATGTTGTGCACGTCGGTACAGCTGCGATCTTCCTTACACCGTCATATATTATTCGTTTTATACATATCATTGTTTTATATATTATAATTCTTGTACTTTACACGCGCACGTACACACGCATAACGTTTCATGATAAAAATTCACAAAAATGCATGCAAGCAATAACAAGATGGATATCTTCAAGTTTGTTCTCTCCCTCTCCTCTCCTCTCTCTCTCTCTCTCTCTCTCTCTGGGCACGCGCGCACACCACAGAACATACAATACACACATTATCTCACGAAGAATTACAGCTGCAACATTAAATTTCGTCGGGCGATACAAAATGTAGATAGATAAATTATTACAGGGGACCACCGTGGTGGTCCCCTGTATCTCTTTTGTATATGCAATAACACTGAAGGGAACTACTACATAGCGTATTCTCAATCGCGTAGCCAACAGGGAAACTCCCAGTACGGAATTTAGTTGTAGCAACTACATACAATTAATGGGAAATATTCAACTTGGTCGAATAATCAATCAGTTCGCAGGAAAATTACCCAAGAGAGTACGTATCGCTTACGTCTGTGCGGATAATTGCACCTGCAGCTAACGCGGATTCTAGATAAACGTACACACGTCGGTGGTCACGCGGACGTAAGCGCTATGAATCATTTTGATGTGTATTTCGCAACTCTCTAGAGGAAAGGCTGTAGGCCGTCGTTTCCAAGAACGCAGGCATCCACACTGACGACGCTGGGATGTTCCACTCATTAGCTTGAGGCTCGCTCCAAACTAATGAGCATTTTTAATGCTTTAAATAAAATATTAGAAAATGTAATAAAAGAGCGCGCGTTTTTACAAACTGTAACAAAGCGTGACCATTGCCAAAGAAAAGAATTATGTGAACACTCAACTTGTCATTTCGCCGAATATATAGTAAGAATGCATACTTGTGAATTTTCACGTACTCGTCGTCACTCACATGTCCGTCGTCGTAATATTTGACAATGTAATACATTCCTACACACGACAAAAGTATCAACAGTAAAGTTGATATTTAAAACAACGGAGCAATTAGCTCTCCCCTCGTATCTCTATGATTCGCGTCGATTGTTCTTTATCACCTCAGGATAACACGGTGATGGCGGTTTCTTCTCAGGAAAGGGAACCAACGTGATATAATGACGATGACGGAAGTAGCGGTTACTGTATCATTCGTTGTTTCGTTTCTTCGCAACGATGGTTTCGCATATTTACAAAACTATTCTATACTTCCACTTTAAAATCACGACGACTCATCAGTGATGTTACATTTCCTACCTGTGCAGAAATTAATTAAATACAGGTGAATATGTATACGATTGCTTTACGGAGCTTTACTTAGCTGAAAGAGAAACGAAAAAAAAGAAAGAAAGAAGTTATTGGTTGCTTTTGTATATTTAAAAACAAAAACATACGAGTTTTCATCTGGAAAAAGGGTGCACAAGTTCCCGCGAGTTATCTATTTCTTATTTTCGTCTGAAGCTATCTGCGAAGCCAGATTTGCAAATTTTGCCATGTAATCCACACTGTTTTCTACCATGAGGCATTGCATATGCGATACAACCTGAAACATCATTGTGGAATTGAACAGGCGTGAGTAAGCCGAGTTAGAATAGCGAGATAGGACTGAGATTAGGCTGACATACTAAACACTTTCTAATATATATCGTTGACAATAGTGACAATATGAATATGAATGGAGCGATATTAATATCAATTAAAAATGAAAGAAATTAAATCGAGATCGATATAGATTTCACGAGATATCACAGCGTGCTTCAAAGTCTCGAAGCAACGTTTAAAGGTTTAAAGGTAAACGAAGGAAAGTTTCGGCGCAGAACATTCTTACATACGGCACAATGTTACGTTGCCTTTCTGATTATCGCACTTAAAATCGTGCGACGACTATTATTGGCCGCTTTTGCTGATCTGATTGGATATTACGGAATCTAATATTGATACTCTCCGATACTGATCTAATATCTTTTTATATATATTTACACTTACATCGGAAGAAGGACGTGCATCGTCCATGATTTGTTCGCCCGCTTGACTTCTCTGTGAGCTTTTTATGGGTGATTCAAGTTGTCCCAGGAAGCTACTTAATGAAAAATCTGCGACCTGCGATTCCATCGTACAACTAATATTAACTTTTTGCAAAAGAATGAAGAAAAAAGAAAAATATATCTTGTTTGTATAGTACAACTAATTTGTGGATCAATTCGCGAACCTCACTGTTCAGCCACTGGTGTTCACCTTCCTTGAGGATTTGAGTAGCACTGGTGATGATGGAATTGGAATTTTTCACATCTCCGCTTGTCTCCAATGCATCTAGAAAGTTCTTGTTCTGGGTCTCGCTCGTATTTACCGCTACCATTTTGTTAGTTTGCGTATGACACAATGAAGATTCGTCGATTTTGCTCGGATCATCGGTTGTCAAACTTTCGGATGATATACTCGGCGAGGATACGATAGGCGGTACCCTTTGTATCACGAGGCTCTTCTGTCTCACGGTTCTACCTCGTTTACAAAAGCGCGTCTTGAATTTCTGTAATGTGTATATATGTGTGTGTGTGTGTGTGTGTGTGTGTGTGTGTGTGTGTGTGTGTGTGTGTGTGTGTGTGTGTGTGTGTGTGTGTGTGTATGAAAACACTTCATAAAGGACAGATCAATCCTCAATGTATTATAATATATATATATATATATATATATAATACACACACACACATATATATATATATATATAATACACACACATATATATATATATACATATACATATATATCTAATACACACATACATATATATATATATACATATACATATATATATATACATATACATACATATATATATATATATATATATATATATATAACGAGAACTATATCTGACATAATAATAGCGTGTCACTTACGTCAAGTTGCGTTTTGAACGCGTCAGCTGTGCCAGTCTTATGATACGCTTGTGGAATGAGAGGTCTCCTGAACGTAGATTCTTTTATAGATTCCTTAATGGATGGAACGCGAGACGAGATTATAGTTTCGTTGCTTCCAGACGTGTTATCATACACCTAAGAACAAAGATATCGCGTAACATTAAGAAACTATTGAATTATTCGAACAATTATTCGAAAAGTAAGTGCACTCTCTGCTCTCGTCATAGAGACAATAAAGCGTCTCACCAGTTGTTACATCTTACCTTGTTTGTGCCGTAATTATGTTTCGCCAGTGACAATAACTTTTGTAAGACTAAACATAAATTATCGTCGCGCACGACGCTCGATGAGGCTGAATCAGTTGTACACTGCTCGCTAGGTAGCCAATCCCACCAATATTCCAATGCGATTTTCGATTCGCGACCAAACTGTTAAATTTGGAGAAGTTAGAATACATATTTCTAAGAATAAAGACTACAAACAATACATATGCACGTGGCTGTGATTATTTCATTAGTTCGTACAAGCATAAAGACTAATTTAAGACTAATTTAACACGCGTGTTCAACACGCGGGCAAGTGTAATATCGCGCACCATTAAGAAGAGATCGCCCATAGTGATCGTGTTCGCTTCCTCGACGTTCCATCCCCTTCGAATTCTATCGACGGTTTCTCTACCTGGGAATCTGCTGGGCTCTGAATGCTGTTCAGACGATGGTTTCTCCGTGTTATTTATAATTGCTGATTTATCGGACACGCTACTCCCCGTCTCCAAGAGGTCTATGTCGCTACTGGTATCTGGCAGCGCGCAATTTTCATCTGTGCGACTCAAGATCTTCTTATCCAATTTATACCGTTTGATCCCCTTTTTTCCTATTCCCTTCAAATGCTGAACAGATCCCAACAAATCTACTCTCGAGCTCTTTAAGCCGAGACGTTTCTCATATGAATTTAAGCTGAGGCTGTTGCTAGTGAGATATTCTCCAAGATTTACCATCGGTAAAGCAATTTTGCATCCTTCTGGGGGAGCAACTCTTAACAATCGAGTATCTTTTACATCATTGGCAATGAGATTTTCTACAGTGGTGCACTGTGACAATTTAAGGATGCCTATCTTTGTGGATATATAACGACGTGTTTTATCTACATGCATCTTTGCAACAATAAACAATGTGTACAGTAAAGCATGTGTGCACATATTATATATCCGATTAAATATTATGGCAGCTGTGTCTCATTTTTTTTCTACATATCGGTAAGAAGATAAGGATACTGTAGCATATTTTGTGAGTCGCCACCGTTGTTGTAAAAATATCAACAAAGTGGAGAGGCGTCTTTGTATCGGTAGAAGCGTTCGTACACGCGGATTCATGGATGCTGCTTGTACCTGCCACCAAGCCATATTGTTGCGTGGTCTCAGTTCTACTGTTATCCTAGATGGCAATTTAATTTCCTCTTGCCAATCTGCCAAGTGAAACGAGTTCTATATCACAACATTAATACTAATCATCAATCGACCACTTTGACCAAGAGCAACTGTCAATATTCCTTGTGTACATATTAGGCTGTTTCATCTAGTGTTATACTTTACTGACATGTTACTTGTGCTACCATGCGCTCCAAAGCACGTGTGCACATACATACACACATATTGGAAATATCTGAAAGAAGGTATACCTTCCAACTGATTTAGCTTCCTAAGAGCTCTGCATGTAGGAGTTTTGATTCTCATAGTCTTTCCTCTAAGTCTGACCTGAGTAGATCCCCAATATACCAGTTCGTTCAATCTCAAGTGGACCTTTTCATGAATACGAGGTAGCTTCCTTCTAAGTTCACCATAATTTATCAACCCATACAATTCCTGAGCGGTCTTTTTTACATCTATGTACGGAACAATATATTATATATCTAACGGAAAATCACATTGTACATACATTTAAAAATATTTCGACAACCTTCTGAGAACTTGAGATGCTTTGATATCTTTAGCCAAGTTCTATAATAAAAATGTCGAATTTGTTCCTTATTTTTTATAATAGCATCGGACAGGCCCCTCTTTTTTCCCTGACTCAAAAAGTAGCTCTGCAGAGCATCAAAGTCTTTCCCATATTCATTGAGCGCCTTGAAAAAGGTATTCTTATCCTCCATAGACCATAATTCACAGGAACGTTTGAGAGGCCTGACCTTAGCCTCTGTTGTCTCCTCATCTTTCACGTCTGTATAAAAAAATTAGTACTTGTAGCTTACAACTGCAATGTCACATATCGATAATTAACATCTTGTATTATATATATGAATACTTTAACGTACCCTTTTTCTCGATATTGGCAGGATCGTTATTATCAGGTTTGAGCTTTTTAGTACCTCTAACAACGCGAACCTGCGTATTCTTATTGTCTACCGAAGGTTTTACATCGAGAAACATTTGGTTCGCTTGGGAACTTCCAGGAGCTGCACTACTCGCCTCGATATCCTCAGATTTTGCAGTATCTTCCATCGTTTGCTGTGCTTTTCGTTATACAAAAGGTATTGCGGATGAAATATTTCTTCATAACACATTCGAAATCGTATGCAATTTAATTGCAACTTAACTTTAAGACATTATCATCCGCAGCAATTGATGCGCTCAAAAATGCATGCCGAAAAGAAGGACGCGGTCGGTGAGACAGAGACGGTGTAATAATTGATCCGGTTTTCTTTTGTTGTGTTTTTTAATTCAATGTTTCTGATGGTTGACTTCTAACGTGAGGTTACTTTCTAGATCTGTAAAGGCTACAAACCCATGACAATGTCGAACTAGGGGCAGGTAGTATGTAAAGTTTCTGTTAAAAAGTTAATTGTTTACGTCTATGATCTACAAATTCGACGAATCTCTTTGCGTGTGGCGATAGCTTACTTTTCTTTTTTCTTTTTTCTTTATAATTTAAGTTATATGATAAGCTTTACTAATAAATCTTGCTTGAGACAAATCTTTGCAATTCCTGCCTAGGCCTGATATTCAGTGAGACAAGCTGAACTCCTGGGAATTATTTGCTCGCTTGAAAATTTTTGGTAATTTCCCGGGTATTTCCCCCTTTTCTTCATCTCAAAAAATCTCTAAAGGCTCGTCTACATTAGCTGTAAGAGTAAGGGGCTGTAAAGGCTCGTCTACAATAGCTGTAAGAGATAGAGCAAGAGCACAGGTTTTTGCATAACACATAATACATAACACATAAGAGAATAAACCAATTAGTTTTCTTCATTTCCCTCCTCAGGACAGAAATGAAGAACTCTGGCTGGTTGATTCTCTTATGCGTTGTGTATTATGCGTTATGTAGAAGTCTGTGCTCTGGCCCTGAGGCTATAAGGCTGTAACGTAAGCTGTCAGCGAATGAAAATATTTCATTTCGTGTCTTGCAAACTTACAGCCTTAGGGCCAGAGCACAGACTTCTGCGTAACGCATAATACACAACGCATAATACCTCGTCTACAATATAAGTCGTAGAGTCGTAAGTCGTAGGAATTGACCAATCATAGTCCGGTAAGAGAAAAATAATCGACCGCGATTGGTCAATTTGTACGACTTACGACTCTATGACTTCTATTGTATTTCTGTCCTGAGGAAGGAAATGAAGAACTCTGATTGGTTGATTCTCTTATGCGTTGTATATTATGCGTTATGCAGATGTCTGTGCTCTGGCCCTTATTCTTACAGCTAATGTAGATGAGCCTTTAAATATAAAACCTGACCAAAGAGAAGAGGGAGAAGTGTCATGGGATGGGCCGCTTTTAGCCGAGCCAAGTGCGAAGCGTTCTCTGTACAACCGTGCACATGAACTAACGACGCCAGTGTCCACGATTCTTTACTTATTTCCCCATATAATGGCCACGCATGCATATGTATACAATGATAGCCGGCTCGATCTATTCGCATGGTGACACTGGTTGAATGTGAATCGTGAAATGCTATTGGTCACGTACATGGCGACGTCGGACGTGTTCCAAAATCTCACTGCCAGTACAGAAAATATATAATTTGTGTCACGTAAACTATAACTTTTCCGCGCTGGCAGTGAATTTTGGAACACAGCCGTTATTTCTGAGCAAATAACGTTCACAATTTATCTGAACTACCGTATCTGGGAGGGAGGGAGGGAGGGAGGGAGAGAGAGAGAGGGAGAGAGACAGAGAAAGAGAGAGAGAAAGAGAGAGACGGTATTGCAAAAATTCCCTAATCTGTGCGGACACAACACTACACGATAGGCCTATTCGTTTTGTCTGCACACTGCTGAACTGGTGCAACAAGTTAAAGTGAGGCAAACGTAGGTTTTCTCACTTCAACTTGTTGCACCAGTTCAGCAGTGTGCAGACAAAACGAACAGGCCTATTTTTAAACTTTTTAGTCCATCCAATGCGCATGCCCGTGGAAGAGGAGTTTCAACAACGGACGGAGACCGCTCGGACTGGTCTGGATTGGTCGAGCTCGTGACTCGAGACTGGTTTCTGTAGCGGCTGCATCTTGGGTCTTGGTCGAGTTGTTTCCGACTTTCTCGTGAGATGAGACACGTATCGTGAGATATATCATGTACAGTACCTTAAATACTTGTGCGTTACGTTAAACGTATCATTTCTAATATAGCAAACGAATACATAATACAGCGTTTGCATTGTTACAAGTGCTTAAATTTGTATCACATGGTATGTATGTACGTATACGTATTAATACGTAGGAATTTAGCACGCACAAATCTGTGATCGAAATTCAAGATTAAACCATGTGCCTGCATTGATGTGCGTATAAATAAACATATAAAAATGGAAATAACGATCCAGAGTGAGTATACTAAAAGTAACGCAATTTTGCTGTTTAAATACATGAATAATTTGCTGATAATAATGGCTCATAATGGTTCTGTCGCTTCTCCTTCTCAATTATTTTGTTAATTTCATATAATCGTCATAGATTTCCGGGATGTGTTGTCGGAATTGGACAATCACTTACAGCACGCTACCTTTATTTGTATCGATGCAGAATTTACAGGACTTAATTCAGCTCCAGATACTGGTCCCTTTGATACACTAGCTCAGTATTACACCAAGCTCAGAACAGGATCTATGAGTTTCCTTCTTGTACAGTTTGGCCTATCTTTATTTACATACAACTCAGATACAAAGAAGTAAGATGTAGTTAAAAATTATGCAAAATTTGTATTCTATATGTGGGCATGTGCAATTGTGTATACTTGCAGTTTCTCATGTCTATGTGTATGCATATACGTGAGATTTAGTCATTAAGTTAAGCAAGAAGTTTTCAAACCACTATAAATAAGGACAAGTTGAATAAAAAGAGCACAATGATTTTTGTTTGCTTCAGATATTCTCAGCGTTCTTACACCTTTTATGTGTTCCCTAAGCAACTGAATTATCGTGCACCAGATTGCAGATTTATGTGCCAAGCATCCTCAATAGCCTTTCTGGCGAGTCAAAATTTTGATTTTAACAAACTCTTTAAGCATGGTATACCATATCTTAATATAAATGAAGAAGAGAAACTTATCAAGCGTATGGAAGAGAGACAAAGACAAAAAGAAGAATACAATGATGCAGTAATTCCAATATCAGACACTGACAAACCTCAAATCGAGGAAATATGGTAGCTTTATTCTCATTGTTTTTCTTTCCTTCTCTCCTTCTCGTGTTTCATCTATATATCTGACCTATAAATTTGATACCATTATTAGTTATTAATTGATATAGAGAAACTGGAAGATTTTATAAAAATTAAGATGTTTCATGTAAAGAATCATGTAAAAAGAGAGAAAGTAAAAGAAGATGTGTACACAATATGTTACATTTCAGTTCTAAGATAGAGGATTTCCTTGCTTCGGATAAAGAGGAGCTCACGATAGAGAGATGTAATAAATTTATGAGAAGGCTTATATACCAAGAGGCAAAGAACAGATGGCCTGACAAAGTAAGAATAGAAAGTAAGATTGAGAACACTTGGCAGTGTCTTTCGGTACAAAAGGTAGGCACCAAGGAACAGGAAGAAGCAAAAGAAAATCAAAGACGCGAAAAAGAAAAATTAGAATTTGACCAGGCTGTGGGAGTCAGCAATCTTCTGAAGAAAGTTCTGAATTCTGTAAGTATCGCTATTTGTGATATTATAAATATCAGATGAGTGCTAAGTTTCTTGCGGGTTTTGTGATAGAAAAATATATGTACGGATAAAGTACTTTTATTAAAAATGATTTATTCTCTCATTTCGCCATCTAATTCTGCCATTGTCTTTTGGTATCTTTGGTATATTATATATGTATATATCTATAAATATACTGCTTTAAAACTGCTGGTACAGTCATGTTTTTGAGAAACCCGTCGGAACTTTTGCATTCACATGATTATAGAGAGATATACTCAGTGCATGATTGTAGAGAGACATATCTGGAAAAGAGTTCAGAAGAATATATCAATAAATTTACATATCTTCCTGGCAGAATTAGAATTTTTCTGACGGAATCGTACGTATAGTATTAATGTACTTAATGTTCTAAAACGAATCAACTTGCTGATAAACATTTTTAACACATTAAGTTCACAATTTTATTTTAATTGTATGAATATTTTAAAACAAGCTCACACAGAGTAATTTAATATGTATGCTGTTATTTGTTTAGTGTGATATTGCTTAAAAAAGTGAAAATATTTCTGGGAGAGAGAGAGAGAGAGGGAGAGGGAGAGAGGGAAGGAGAGAGGGAGGGAGAGAGGGAGGGAGGGAGGGAGAGAGGGAGGGAGAGGGAGAGGGAGAGAGAGAGAGAGATTATTTTACACATATTAATATTGTTATTTCAGGGAAAGACAATAGTTGGACATAACATGTTGCTTGATTTGTGTCATATCATACGTCAGTTTGTGACACCTTTGCCAGCGGATTATTCAGAATTTAAGAATCTGGTTCATGACTTATTTCCTAGGTGAGGCGACAAATCTTTTTACACTTGCCGCTAAATGGATACTATATTTATTATTTTTAACTTATAATTTTGAGTATTTTAATACTTATAATTTTGAATACTTTAATACTTATAATTTTGAACATTATTTGGCACGGTACTTAGCTGTCGTGCAGCAAACATTTCTGTGTACTTGGTAATGGAAGAAAGAAAAGTAAATGTTTTTATTTATAAGTTATTACATATTAGTATGATATTTCAAAGACAATAGATCGATGACGCGTAATTAAAATTTGGCATCAAATTTTAGAAAATTTTTGTAGAATAAATGTCTCATATATATATATATATATATATATATAATTAATATATTAATATATATCGCAAATATTGCCAATCAACTTGTGGTCGCAAGGATTAAGATTTAGGAATAAAATTTGTCTTACGTTTTTCTTGTTATTTTTCTTTTTTAAGTTTATTGGATACAAAAGTCATCTGTCAATCACAGCCATTTAAAGAGCATATATCACCGTCAAGTACAAATCTGAACACGCTGTTAAAGATTATGAGCAAACCACCTTTCTCTATTCCCGATGTGGAACCCATAGAAGGATGCAGTTATTCAATTTCGACAGAGAAGCTGCACGAAGCAGGCTACGACGCATACATTACCGGATTGTGCTTCATTGCTTTGTCTAATTATCTTGGTTAGTAAACAAGCAGATGAAGAAAAAAACCAATTTGTTGATGTATTGTTAATTATTTGATGTTTTCACGAAAATTACATCTATATCCGCGCGCGCGTACGTATGTATATATGTGGTTTTAATGCAAAATAAAATTATACGATATGCTGGATCATTGTTTGTTTCAGGAACGATAAAACAATCTGAGGATGCAGCGGATGAGGTGTTAGCTGACTCTTCTTTGCTAAAACCCTTTCTAAACAAGTGAGTGATCATGCAGTGAGCGTCAAAAAATATGAGCACCTCGTTCCTCATGTTCATTCATAAGAATCGCGTATATATTTGCACACTTTACTACACATCGATTTTTAATCAATATTTGTGAACAATAATAATAATAATAATAATAATAATAATAATAATAATTTAACTCCTTTTTGTTTCTCCTATAGGCTTCCTGTATCTAGACTGAGAGATGTTCCGTATATGAATCTAGTAGGAAAAGATCGTAAGTGACAATTTGAGTTGTCACAATTGTTAAGTTCCAAAAATTTGAATGTATTTGTCATATAATATATGTTTTTATCTGCGTTTTCTCTTTCCCAGCAAAACCCAGTAGAGACCACGTATTTCATATAACATTCCCCAAAGAATGGAAGCATACGGATATAAATCAACTTTTTAGCCCATACGGTAAGTATGTTGTATCACAAGTAAGTTAAGCGCGCAACATTCTGCTATTTGCGATACCTCGCAAATTGAAATGTGAAGTCGTAAAAGTCGCTGATTTACAAAATTTTCATAATCCGTCGTTATCTTTCGTCATAGAAATGATATCGGGTTTAAGGCGAAGCTTGGGTGCTATTTAGCGCGTGTATGTGTTATATTCGCAAAAAATAGCAGTTTTTCTATTTTTGTTAACAGGAGGTGTACAAATTTCATGGTTAACAAATACAACAGCGTATGTCGCTTTGTTTCGACGAGAAAACACCCGTGAAGTAATGAACGCTTTGTCTAAAGAGACTGTTTGTACGATACAAACGTATTTGGATTACCAAGCTAGTTTAAGTGCCAGTGGTGTTTGTTGCGAGGACCGTAAACGAAAGTTACCAGTTGGGTAAGTTACTGACACACACATACACACACAGTACTTTATACAACACTATTGATCTAATTTGAATTTTTCTTGTACTTTACGAGTATTAGCTAAACCAAACCTAATCCAAGTTTATTAATTTAATTAGGAATTCATAACAATCACGCGTAGATATCAATATGACGGTGAAACGACTGCACATCGCTTACATGTTCTCAGTCATTTTTCTTCATCATCATCTGATATTTATATATTGATTGACTCTTGTTTCACGAAGTCAGGGAGTCACCTCTTTTTCTTCTCGGTGAACATCCCACAAATTGCAATTGTGAAAATTGCATGTATTTTACCGCCAAAAGTATTTCGTGCGGTTTCATGCCTCAATTCAATTTGCACCGCGAGCTATCGCGTTTGTGCGAGATGTTAATTAATTAAGTGCAAGAGTGAAGTAACGTGTATTATAGATCCGCTATGATCTCTGATGAAATGAAAGAACAAGAGAGAAAGAGGGGGGAGGGAGGGAGGGAGGAGCAGATCAAAAAAGATCAAACCCTAGGCCGGTCTCCTAGGATTTCCACGAGATTACACGAGAGATTTGCATATAAGCCCTTAGAGCCCTTGTTCTGAATTAATGCGTGCAACACTCGGTCAGTACATGAATTCTGCTGTTTTCTTGCTCTTCTCTTTCTTCTCTCTTACCGCGTTTACTCTCCTTACCTCTCTTCGCTTCCTAGTCTTACGCGCTAGTTATTGTCGCGCATCGCATTGTATCGTCGTATTTTACATCGTCACGCGTGTACGTGACTTCCGTCTGTCTTCCGTCAAAGTTTTATTGCACCGTAATCTCTCACGCAGGTACAGATTGACATTGTACCGTACTCTTCTCTCTTACTTCCAAACTTATTTTATTTGTTTCCGATGGACGTTACTTACTGACAAATGTGTACTCGCTCGTTCATAATAGATATATCTGAGAAAAATACGAAGAAAAAGGCAGAGAGAGAGAGAGAGAGAGAGAGAGAGAGGGAGAGGGAGAGGGGGAGAGAGAGAGAGAGAGAGAGAGAGAGAGAGAGAGAGAGAGAGAGAGAGAGAGAGAGAGAGAGAGAGAGAGAGAGCTCTTCGCTTGCTCGTATCGTGCTCGTATGTTTCGTATCAATTATCGAGATTATCATGCGATCGCGATTACCGTCATCTATAAATATCAACGCAATTATGGAATGTACAAAATGCAATATTGTGTTCACTCTATTAACCAAATCTTTTCTTTCATCTTTCTCCATCATATGAAAGGCAATTCTCGTTCTTAGGAACGCATTGGATGACGCAATCGCCGGCAAGTCCGGCAATGGTGCAACACCAACTTCGTCAACGATATCATTACCAAGCTTATCGTCAAATTTATCAAAACGCTCCTCCCTTTCGATATCCACAGAAGTTTCCAATGACGGGTGGGAGATCGCCACAGGTACAGTATTCATTGACACACTTTTTCCTTTTTCACATTTCTTTAATGTATATTACAATGTGCGTACAAAGCGTGCATATTGTACATATTCGATTTTCGTCATGTGCAGGAAAGCGACGTAAAAAACGCAGAGAACAGAACGTCGAAGTGGCTAGTAGCAGAGCTTTCGCAGAAAATGACGCTTGGAAATAGAAAATATGTTTGGAAGAAAAGCTCGCCTCTTGCGTGAATGCAGCGCGACTCTGACTACATGTATAGAAATAGAAATAGAAATACGCAAATGTGTATAGAGAAGCTCGCCGCGCGAGTAGGAAGATACGAGTGCGTATCAGTAAGAAGCAAAAAGGAAATATACATACATATGTATCTCAATTACACATTTCGCGTGAGCGTCCCTAACGTTCTTTTGATGTGTATAAAAATAAATTGTTTCTGATAAAACCGAGCATACATACTTTTGCTAATGCGTTCCTCCTCGGTCATACTCGCGTATACTACGATGGGTCTATATTCTCTTGTTGCTGAACATTTGGCGCTGAATGCTCGTCTAAAAGTAAATTTTACTCGAGCGTGTCGATATCGGAAGCTTGTCGCGCGGTTATCAGTGTGCAATAATAATATCGTAATGACAAACACCACTGTCTCGCGCAGCAGGAAATACAATTTTCACAAATTCCATCCTGGTTTGACGAAGACCTGGGACGAAGAAAAACGGAGAAGAATTATTAGTGAGGAGAATATTAATGTTGACAAAGGGTTCGGAAAACTAATTCGATCCAATACTCTCGTTTGTTAAATGAAAAATAATATATTAAAGCTTGATCTTGATGAGGTGGTAAATAATGATTTACTGTCGCAACGATCAATTAGCTCCCGTGGACATCAACGTGTAACGTTTTCTCGCAACCAGACATCCAAAAGCCTCGATGAATAACTCTTGACTAAATGTCTTCTTTTTTCTTCGAAGTAATGTTGTAATGTAATAAATAAAGTTGTAATGTAATAATACGCACATGAACGACGCCGTGGAGCAGCTAAAGTCTCTCACAGCCTCTCCCGCACTACTACCCTAATCTCGTCAAGTCATGTTTGCGCAATATATGTTTTGTTTCTTACGTAATTAAACCTGTAGATTGTTCGTATTTAATTTTGTTAGTGATACACGTGTGATACAATGAATTTTCGGAAACTTTCGGTAACTTTGGAGAATTTTATTCTCAGTAAAAATGTCAACACGTGTGTGTGTGTGTGTGTGTGTGTGTGTGTGTGTGTATGTGTGTGTGTGTGTGTGTGTGTGTGTGTGTACATACGCACTGGTGTTTCTGTGCCCGATTACAACGAGAGACGTTTTCAAGGAGAAGAGCGAGAGAATAGGTAAGCTTAGCGAAATCTCGTCGACGAAAGACTTGGCGAGTTTTTAAAATGTTATTGTTATCTCCGTGTATTCGAAACCGGATGCCAATGTGATCAGCGTCAAACGTGAAATATTCAGTCGGATTTCCTGCACAGGTACATTCGTTAGAAAGAAAGAGATGGAACCATACCGCGCGATATTACAGTGTGTCCAAATGATAAATAATCGAGCGTAAAATCAGGTCAGTTGACATCGCGTGAATTGAAAGGATTCTCTCTCGTTATGCGCGCTCGATCTTTCTCTCTCTCTCTCTCTCTCTCTCTCTCTCTCTCTCTCTCTCTCTCTCTCTCTCTCACTCACTCACTCACTCACTCACTCTCACTCTCTCTCTCTCTCTCTCTCTCTCTCTCTCTCTCTCTCTCTCTCTCTCTCTCTCTCTCTCCTTTGCGGAGACACGACACTCATTTTCTACTTTACTAACCCCCTTGTCCTATAATATCGTGTATAAGACACGTGTGATATGCTTTACGGGCCAAACATAAGAGACAGATAAGTGTCAGGCTCGTGGTACATCGTATATCGGACCAAATGTAGGAAGCACAAGTAAGACTCATCGTACATCGTACATCGTACGTTTCGCGGGAACAAACAGCGGGAAACACAAGAGCAAGACTCGTGGCTCAATTTTTACATTTTTTTCTTGATCAATGTTCTGCGTCTGCACGATTTACGATTTATGTGACTTGCGACATTATGTAGACATTACAGGGTATTACAGATGCAACTTTACTTACTTTACTGGCTTTTTGGCTTACGTGCCGTTGCGACTTACAAACCAACAACAACAACAACAACAACGTACTTGATAGCGAATATAAGTCGAATGTTTATGGAAGCGCGATAAATAAATTCGACACTTGTCTAAACGCGCGCACGCGACACGTCCCCTAAAGTTCATCCGGATTATCAATTAAGTCGCGCCGTGACACGTTGGTGAGCGTTGTGCGAATGAAAATTATTCCGTTCGAAATATAGGTGTTCTCGCTCGTTGAAGGATGGACAGGCTGCGATCATCAGGCTTGAATCACCGCGAGAGCCACCAGCACCTGGACGAAACACCTTTGCGCGGAGATCGTCCGAGGTATCGCAGGACCAATTCCGAGCTGCTTAGCGGCGAAAATTCGGTGAGTCCTTCAGCACGTCTTCCCACGTGGTCCCTCGGGGGACCTCGAGAGCTTTGAGCTTTAGCGAACAGCTCCGTCCGGTGCAAAATACGTTGGACTCTTTTGGGATTTCCAAGGGCATTGCGTTCATCTGGTATCGAGGCACATGCCGCATAGAAACCCCAAAGCTGCCGCAACAAATTCACTTTGTCGGACATTTGACAACTCGGCGTTACTCGGCTGTGTCGAATTTCAAATTTCGAATTTCGAGGAGAAACAACGCTGCGCTTTTTTTACGCAGGAACGCCTGCTCGCTCCTATCCTCGCTCGTGAAGGAGGAACGTTGGGACACGCTTAGAAGCAAAATTTCGAAAGCAAACTACTCGCCGAAAGTGGCCGAGGTGTGACGAAGTTTTGTGTGTTCGCAAGAAGATGTTGACAGCGTGCTACGCAGCATCAGAGAGAGGGTCTTTCGACCCAACCCTCGCGCATCGCGCGATTAACGAAAAAATTTTGGTTCGTTGCTTCGTTGCTTGAAAAGTTCAACAACGAATAATACAACCGATCGTTGACCGATCGTGCGCGTCGTGCGACACGACCTGCTGCGCTGCGTGTAGGATCTTTCTCGTTCTATCTGCCGCGCGCGGGCAGGTTAGATATCGTTTCTTCGTTGAGATATATATTTGCGAAGTATACGTCTCCCGTCCCAGTGAAAGAAGTCAGAGACGTTAACAGGACGACAGACGAGGTTGGAAAAGTAAAAGTTTCTTTCTGAAAAGGAGAGACCTCCCCCCCCCCGCCCCCTTCCCCTCTCAATCAGACATTCGCTCCGTCATTATTGATGACAGCTTTTATTTGTCGCCAGGAAAATTTTCTTCTCCCTGCTAAAGAATGTCAAAGAATCGCGCGCATAGTCTCAAGGCACGAGACGACATCTCGACTTTCGCGGTTAACGCGTCGTTCTGTTAACGCACGCTAATCAGTCTGTCGACGTTGTGAAGTGAGCAGCAGCACGCAACAACCCTCTCGATATAAAGAGAGATGCCTACCTGCCTGCAAATATAGCCTGTAAGAGAGAGAGAGAGAGAGAGAGAGAGAGAGAGAGAGAGAGACGCGTGAGGTCTTACCGTTGCCACAAGTCTTATCCATTGTCGACCATTGTCGTGACTTATGCGCGAATACTTGAATCTCGCGCGCGCCTACCTACTATAAATGTATATGTAGCGCATCCTTCGCGGCGCCGTGAACGTTAAATCCACCATCTCCGACGAGATCCATCATCTTATCGCGTCAACGTCGGAGATAACTTGGGACTTAGCAGGCCAGTAGGATTCAAACTCAGCCACCACAGGACCACTAAGGCCCAAATCATCCCTGACTGATTCTCCGCTCCTTGGTGCCGCGCGCGCGCGCGCGCGAGCATCAGTGGCTTCTGAAAGAAGGATGCAGGAGTGAGTGATTACATTTGCAGCAACTTTATCATTCGCGAAATATACAATTCGCAATTCCAAGTCTATCAAATGTAGGACAATGAGATATTTACGGGACGATTTCGACGATATCGAATAAATGAAAGAGATTCTATATACAAATATATATTATTATTATATTATTATATATTACACGAGTTCGTGATACAACTTTTTACCGCACGATTTGGCATTACCGACCGAGTAGTTCATGTAGTTAATTGAAGTCGCATATAGATATTGCACGCATCGTTGTGGCGTTATCGGCAAGTTCAGATGGTTGACTTCTCAGCTGTTTGAGAGCTAAGATCCTGGTGCGAAAAGGTGTAGACACTTAACGTGATGATGCATTATAAAAATGTAATAAAAAATATTTTTTGAGTGAGTCTTAAAAGTTGCGTGTACATAACGGAACGCAGATAATCGCAGCAAAATATCCCCTAAATAATACGATACAAATAATTCCTTTTGAATGTTTTTGTAGGGAAATGTAAAACATATCACACAATTACGAAAGAGTCGTATTTCGCTGCGATTGATCACGTGAAGTATCTTTACACCTTTTCGTTCACTGGAATCTTAGTTCAAGCAGTCGAGAAGTCAATCATCTGATCTTGTCGATAACGACACGACGCGTGCAATATCTATACGCGACTCAATTAGCTACAACTACTGTCGGTAATGCTAAATCGTGTGGTAAAAAGTTGTATCACCGTACTCGTGTATGTACAACTATGTATATAATTGGTAATATTATAATTGAGATCATAATAGAGACATTGAATCATAGGGTAATTGTATTATTTTACTAAAAATTTCATCGAGCAAATTTTATTTATTGTATATCTAAAATGGATGAAAAATTTTCTCATGTAAATATTTCGGAAATCACGGAGGAGGATTTGCGTGGTCGCACTTGCAAGAAAAGAGAGAGAGAGAGAGAGAGAGAGAGAGAGAGAGAGAGGGAGAGAGAGAGAGAGAGAGAGAGAAGAGAGAGAGAGAAGAGAGAGAGAGAAGAGAGAGAGAGAGAGAGAGAGAGAGAGAGAGAGAGAGAGAGAAGAGAGAGAGAGAGAGAGAGAGAGAGATTCAAGCGTTTCTCTTTCCTTAATCGGGTCTTAACATTCTCTCATACTTTTCATCAGGTAAGTTTCATTTTCAACTCGCTCTATTCGTACATGTCACAGAAGAGCGTGTTAACGAACATTGTCGGTCAAGATGGTCGCGCGAGATGGTCCATCTCGTTCATTACGCTAGATCTACCACGAGTGCACCTACTCATTCACAGCAATTTTATGCATGCCACGGCGTAACGGGTGTGCCGGAAGTGTTTGCGAGAGAACGAGATAAAAGGTGACTACCGCACGCGCACGCGGGATGCACGCGAGAGATACCGGTGTTGGTTGGGATCTGGTTGTTCAGGTTCAGGTTCAGGCAAGGTATAGGACGAACATTCGGTTCTCTATTTGACGCCATTACTAGTCACCATTACTAGTCGAATGAATAATGTAGAAAATGTTATGTAATCCCAAAGTGTGTGTAAGACGAACGTGTGTCAGCAAGCACACAGTACCACCGGCCGAGTTTGAGTTTCGACTAATTAGCGAATCAGGATCGTTTGCGGAATAGGAAAATTAAAGTTTATCTCTTGGTCGAAGATGAAAGATTAATACTATAATATAATATGCGAGGATTAAGATTCGATCGAGAAAGCCTCAGAAAGCTCGCTCGTAATGTCAACCGCCAAATGTCAACCGCGGATATACAATGCGAATGGACTACGATATAAATTGCAAATGAAAGAGAACCTGTCGATCGGACAGTAACAACTTCGCAAACTGCGACAGTAAGGTCGCACTTAGGACTTAACTTTTTCCAATAAGCTCTGCAGCATATCCGTATCCGCAATAGGGGAGAGCTTGTTTTATATAATTTCCTCCTACTAGCGAATTTCAAAAGACACACTGTCTTATCGGACGCTTTCTCAAGTCGATTGAAGTAAAGTAAAAGTGTATCGCAAACCCTTTCTCATCTTTCCCCGATAATGTATTTCGGCAAGGCACGATTACGTTAAATACAGTTACAGCTAGAGAAGATACCGATAAGATACGCGTGAGTGCACATTTTCATCTCCATCAAGACCAAATTAAATTTTGGAGAATTTCGAACTTCTCTCAATTGAGAGAGAATGCAAAGAAGAAAAAAATATATACACACAGCGATTAAGACACACCCCGTAGATTAAAGATTAATTTCTAAAATTGTAAGCAAATAGATAGGAGGACAAGCAAATCGATGCGGATGCGAACCGATGTAGAATGGCGCGTCTGGACGCGCGTCGGTCCGCATTCCTCATGGATAATGTCGGCGAGCGTGTCGCGGTTGTTGCGTGGGCGCGTAGCCCTTGCGAAGAGCGTGCAAAGGGTTGCGCGCGCGCGCGCAGCGTCGCGTACGCCTCGCGTACGACATTTACAATTTGATATGCCACGGAAATGTCCGAATACAGATATCCAGGGGAAAAGAAGGACAAGAACGAAGAAAGAGGATTCGATAAAGTCGATCTGAATTAAGTAACGGTCGTTGCTGCAAAAATCTCTGGTGCATTTCTACACAGCCGTCGATGCAGTTATGTCGATGCAGATTGCGCGTTGGTAAGCGGCCTTTTATCACGGCCCTGCCGCTCTGATCGATTCGCCGACAAACCGGCGACGGCGAATAAAACTCGCTCTTTTTCAATCTTCCCGCGATCTGTCCCTTGTCGATATCACTTGATAAATAAAAGTAACAAACGCAACGCAACGAATAGCAAGCAGTTATATAGCTATATAGCAGCACTATAGAGGACACACTGGCCGCGAATGAACGAATCAAATCCCGAACAAACCGGTGAATTTCGCTCATTGTCGGCTTGCCGCGATCGCGACCTTTAACGACCCACCCGTTGTCGCCAATGTCGCATCTACTCACACTCATGCTCTCTTCTTGGCTGCGCCGCCCCCGTGCTGGCACGTGCACGTGCGTTGCGGTGCGATGCATCGATGTGCTCTCGCGTCTTCTACGCAGGTGCGAGCAGCGCATCACTATGTGCCCTCACACATTTCGTCGTGCTTCGACGCTCGATGCGCGCTACATTCCGAACGAGTCTGTGAGTCCTCGAGCTCTTCCTCGACGAGTTTGCGTATCACGAGAAAGCAATGCGGACATGAGGAAATAAGGAGAGGAGAAAGGAAGGACGAAAAGATGAAAGTGAGGAAAGAGAAAGAAGAAAGCAAGGAGGAAAGGAAGGAAGGAAACAAACGAGTAAGTAGGAAAGAAGGAAAGAAATAAAGAAAATAAGAAAGGAAAGGAAGGAGGAAGGAAGGAAGGAAGGAAGGAAGAAAGGAAGGAAGAAAAGGAGAAAGGAAGGAAGGAAGGAAGAAAGGAAAGAAGGAAGGGAGGAAGGAAGGAAGGAACGAAGGAAGGAAGGAAGGAAGGAAGGAAGGAAGGAAGAAAGGAAGGAAGGAAGGAAGGAAGGAAGGAAGGAAGGAAGGAAGGAAGAAAGGAAGAAAGGAAGAA